TTTAAAGCTTAAAGATCGTTATTCCATGGAATTTTTCTCCGTCATTCAAGATCGGTATTGAATGGATTGAGACTATTTACATTTCTGAAATACATATTATCTATTCTCTTAATCATCGTACTCGTGATTACGTAGATTCATTCTTGACAAAGGCAGAATGGTCTACACTTGTCCGATAGTCGACTAGACACGCGCCAGATAAATGACAAGAAAGGATCACGAAAAGAAACAATGACGGGACGAACTACGAAGATATACGTACGGGAGAAAGAAGGAGAAAAGAAAAAAGAGAAAAATAGAAGAGTATTCTATACCATGGAAAAATAATCACTGTGATTAACGCAGGATGTAATTAGTTCGCAAAGTGGAAACGCGCTAGCTCTGCTCTTTCTCTCTCTCTCTCTCTCTCTCTCTCTCTCTCTCTCTCTCTCTTGCTATAGACCCACCTTCGCATTCACCATAAAAAATAATGGTTCTCCCTGGCGTATTTTTGAATGGCCGAATGAATGGGCACTTACGGTGCTCTCAGGCTTCGAGTACAGTCCGTCAACGAATGAAAAGATATTCGCGTTGCCAAGCACAAATCGTACAATAGTTTTCTCTCTCTTTCTCTCATACTCTCTCTCTCTCTCTCTCTCTCTCTCTTCTTCGTGTCTCTATTTATTTCATTCAACTATCAACGGTACATCCACTTTTTCATAGTCACCACTTTACAAAACAGCGTCAATACCGGCGCCGTTCGATTCTCGAACGGATCAATTGAATCGTCATCGTACGATTTCGTTTGTCCTGAAATGAATTTTTGTAGAAAAAGAAAAAGGATGAATTTTGAATAGGTTTTCAAGCGTTTGGTTCATGGAACCGATAAATTTTACAATCTTATCGCGAGCTAGATGAAGAAGGACAAGAAAGAAAATTAGCATAAGGATACAGACTGTCGTGGCACGCACGACCAAAGAAGGTACTTCGTCGAGTTGAGAACGTCTCTTGAAACCTCCTACGAGTCTTGCAGTGCTTCGTCTACCTTCCGTTTCCTTTCTCCTCAAACCTCTTCCATTCCTCTTTCTCTATCTTGCACTTTCTCTCACTCTTAGATGCGGTAAACAAAGCTCTAATGAAACTTCTAACGAGTCAAATCTTATTATCATTCAGAGTGGAACGAGCGAATGGAATACGAGGTACCGTCGTCGTCGTCGTCGTCGAAGAAGGTGCTGCTGCTGGTGCTGCCACTACTATTGCTACTGGAAGAAGAAGAAGAAGAAGAGAAGAGATGCTGTTGGCTGCGAGAAGGAGGTTGAGTTCGTTCGGTTTGAGGAGTGGATAGGTAAGGTAGGTAGATAGGTAAGTAAGTTTAGTTACTTCGCGTGCATAAACACACGCCATTACTTGGAATAACAGCAGACCCCGTTTCGCTCGAGTACTTCCAAACCGACATCCAGCAATACTTTGACGAACCTCTTTCCTTTGTCGTCCTAAATATTATCTCCTTCTTTCCTACTCTATCTATCTGTCCGTCTGTTTCTATCTCTGTTCTTATCTTTATCTCCTATAATTATCATTATTTATAATTAATATTATTATTTAGACATATTGTAACATATATATATATATATATATCTACTCGCAAGTAATTTATTTTTTATGGTATTATTCTAATAAACAGCATTCTACAGAAAGAAAAATAAAATAATTCAATAAAAATGTGTTTTTAATTAAATGAACATACTCATTTTTACTTGAAAAGGTAATATACTAGACAGAGAGAAAGAAATGAGAGATGGATAGAAGGCTTTAGATGTAGGTATCACGCAATTATGAAATACCTTTATTCTTTAATATGAACTACGCTTTCAGAAGAACAATGATCGCAAAAGTACAAGGAGAGAAAGTTGAAGGACAAAAGCTAAAAGGAAAAAGGGTGAATCCATGGAAGAAAGGTAGAAAGTTAGGACAGTGAACGGTCCCGCTTGAATGAGACGAATTCGGATTACTTTCAATTAATTAAATACCAGAAGATAGAAGGGATTCGTTTAAAACACGATTCCCGATTTCGTTGCGAGCTTTCTATGGAAAGGACAGACTAATTAGTTGTTTTAATGAGGATGGAAGAGATTCAATAATTAACGAGGGACGATCGATTTCGAATTTATTGTGAATTTTTTATTTTCTTTTATTTTACATCTTATTACGTACAACTTAGTGATGTCGATTTGTTTTTAAACGAAGGTACATCGATCTCGTTAAAATTATTGTGCAAGCTATTCCAACGAATTGAGAATGGAATGAACCGATAATGATTTTTCGAGAATGGTGTAATACCCGGTTTATTTCCCCAACGTAGCGTAATTTCGATGCAAAACGAAAGAACCAACTATCTTTTGTTCGCTCTTTTAAATTATTCTTGAATCTCTGCCACTCAGACAGTGCTCTGCCATATAATTTTCGGGGCCTCATATTTCTTTTTCTTTTTTCTTTTTTCTTTTACTTTTTTTTTTTTTTTATATCGCATATGGAACAATGACACGCCATTCGGCTGCCATTGTTTGTCACCGTAATCGCGCCCGGGGCCTGCCAGTCTAGATTAATCTCTCACGATTTCGAGAGGTTCCCCTGTTCTCTTCCCTTCTCTTCCCTTTTCTTCTCTTCTCCTATCTCCTTCCATCTTAACTTTTTCTCTTTCTTTCATTTTACCGAAAAACATTTAATAACGATTTCTTAAAAATATTTTTCATCGTTCCTAATTCAATCTCATCGCATATCATTATATATATTTTTTCTTATTTAAAATTGTTTATATTTAATAATTTTTAAATAAAATTCAACGAGTAAACGGGATTCTTTTTATTCCATGAAATATTTTTCTCTATCTCTTATCGGATATTGCCTTTGTCCTACTCAGAGAAAAGTTGGTGGATGTAGCGGTAATACTCGCGAGGTACATCGAGGATGTCTACGGGTAACTTTTTTGCACGTCACTTTGCATTCAGATCGACAATGCGTTCTGTACCGTAAGTATAGAACTATGTAAGTATAGTCGCGTAGAGACATAGAATCTAAGGGGAAGGCCTTTTTTCGAAAGTTACAATGAATCAAAGCAAGGAAGAAACGGTAGTGTCGTACAACTCCATTGCTTTCCTCTCTCTCTCTCTCTCTCTCTCTCTCTCTCTCTCTCTTTTCTACATTTTCTTTCCTTGTTCTTCATCTTCTTACTCTTTCTCTTTCTTTTCTACATTTTCTTTCCTTGTTCTTCGTCTTCTTTCTTACTCTTTCTCTCTCTCTCTCTTTCTCTCTCTCTCTTTCTCTCTCTCTCTTTTTTCTCTGTCTATCTTTTCCTATCGTTTCTCCCTTTCTACTACTTTCTTGGCCGGTGACTGGGGAAAATCACTATTGGAAAGTTACCTTACAAATTAGAGTAAATGAAATTAAAAAAAGTTTCCGCCTGCAGTCTGGATTTTCAAGGAAGTTTGTCGGTGGAAGGAGCTTGCGTTTAACCGTGTTCCGGGTATAATGAGAGAGAGAGAGAGAGAGAAGGCAAGTCACTCTTCCCTCTCTCTCTTCTTTCCTACTACTTAAGCAACGTTTTTTTCTCTCTTTCTCTCTCTCTCTCTCTCTCTCTCTCTCTCTCTCTCGTTCTCTCCTCTTTTCATGTCGTCTCTCGAGTACCGATAGAAAACGAGGTACGTACCGTGCACAGAGTCCGATCAAATCCGACGTGAAAATTAGCTTTCGAGGATCGTCGAACTCTCGGAAATCTTTTAAATTTAAAAAACATTATTTCACACGTTCTCCATTTAATCGAACATTTTATCGTTCCTTCTCACGATTATATATATATATATATATTATATAGTTCTTCGTTAAAATATTTTTTATTTTTCCTTTCTTTTAGACATTTATTCATTCCTTACGATGAAATAAAATCGTGTTGGAATATTAAGTATAGATCGAGCATTTGTGCTTTATCGATAGAATAAAAACTGATAAAATGTGACTTGATAAAATGCGACTTGAAGAGCCGATCTTACCGCGGGCGTTTGACTTTTTAATTACGTGTCATAAATTGGCCGACACGCTCGGCCCGTTCTAGGACAGTCTATTTTCTGGATGGCCGCAGGTTCGATCTACCACCTCCATGCTTTGGGATGAGCTCCAAGCCGGTTCCTTCGTAAATTGTCTCGCTTGATAAATCGATTGGCCGGCAGGGTAGCTCCGACGTGTACGTAATATGAGGTGTCAGTAGGGTGAAGGAAAACTTAGAGATGATACTACTACAACTTCGTATAAACGCGTGATAATATCGAATCATAGATTTTCATCGGATTTTTATCATTTTATTTTTACGATTTTATTCGTCCCGACGTAGAAAACTCTCATAAAAATTTTATTCATTTTTCTTCTTGCGATTACATTTAAATTACGTTTGATATCATGTGAATCACCAATAACTTCAGATCATTCAATCGTTATTAATAGAAACACGTAATTAAAGTAAATATCAATATTTTTAAATGTTTCAATACTATCATAATTATTACAATGGTGTGAATATTCCCGTTAAAATAAATTCATTAAACACGATTATACATTTCAGCTTATCTGTTCTAGATAATATTCAAAAATAATATGATGGCATATGACGTCTTAAAAATATGTATATGTGAAATATCTACTTTGTTTCGAGTACTATCCGATAGTATATATAACATAAATAAATATACACACGTACATATATATATATATAATATATATATATATATATATATATATATATATATATATATATATACATAGATATAGATAGTACATGTACATGAAGTTTTCTCACTCCAGTCCAAAAATCCACCGCAAGGACAGTCGTGGTGCTATGATTCACGGGATTTGTTCTTGAAAATAAGTGGCTCTCGTGGTATCCTTCCTTTCACGTGGGGTGAAAATAGACGAGGGCAAGGTGTGTTGTGGTGGGTCGAACCTGCGGTTTCGAGAAGTGTCTCCCTATTGTACGATTGACAAATCCGAGAACTCATATGCAATAAATCTCAAAACCGCTACAGCGGGGTGCCTTTCGTATTTATGTCCGATGGAGATGCAGTAGTAGTAAGCAGTAGTGTAACATGTACGAAAGAACGTTCGATTGCGAACGTTCGACGAAAGCCTTTGGAAAAATGGTTGCTCTAGGTGATCGTCCTTATTCGTGTTAGTTATAGATGGTGGTAACAAGAAGATGGTTGCCAACTTTTCTCCATGCATCGATATGAATATAAATAATCGCAATTCGGCCATGTGGAGACACCCCTATTTCCCCCTATCCTCTTACCAATTTGCCCAGAAGTCCTTTTTGCCTTTCACCGTTATATATGGTTTATACCTTATATCCCATACTTCGCACCACATAAGCTGATTATAGGCAGCAATACCTCTCCGCTGTAATAGAGATCCTTTTCTTTTCGTCCTTAGTCGAATGCGTGGACCACCTTATCGGACCCCTACCGAATCGGCTCATATACCTTCTTCTTCTTCTTCTTCTTCTTCTTCTTCTTCTTCTTTTTCTTCTTCTTCTTTTTCATCTTCTCCATTTTCTCTTTCTTCCTTAACTGAGCGGCTTTTCTAATAAAAAAAAAAAAAGAAAAAAAAACATACATAAAAAAAAAATAAATCTTCTTTATTGGATCGTGCTCCCTTCTCATCTTCCTAGAACTCCTCAATTACAGGTTCAATATTCGAGAGAAATAATCGTCGTAATTCAAATATTTTATTATTAAATTGAATTATCTTTATCATTTTAATTTCGATTTTTCGTTAATTTACAGTTTAATCGATTTTCCGAAATCTTCAGAGATATACAATAGTAGATAGTAAAGGGGATTCTACTTAAACTTTCAATACCATTGTCTGCGAACAATCTGAATTGGTAAAACAAAAAAGAAAATAGAAAGGAGAGAACAAGCGAAGTACAATAGAAACGAGAGATATCTGTAGGACAACCTTAAGAATTTTAAGATCCTGTAAATGAGGAAAGGTGCTATGGTGGAGGAGAAAAGCTGATATCTACCGAGTGTAATTGTCATTCGTATCTCATTCTGTATTGCCACGAGGCACGAAGGTGGACGATGAAGAAGAAGAGAGAGAGAGAGAGAGAGAGAGAAAGAGAAAGACAGAGAGAAGAGAGAGAGAGAGAGAGAAAATGAGAGAGGGGTGTCAAGACAAGGATGAAAATGGGTGGTAGAATGAGAAGGGAGAGGTATAGGTATCGTAGCTTGGAAGCAAACACCGTTTCGCTACAATGAAACGCAATTTCCTGCTGTTGCTGCCGAGACTGAGCCAGTCGTCTCATTTGTCTTGGCTAAAAGCTTCACTCCTCACGCTCGCTGCGTTAAACAATCGTACCTGCGTGGCATTCGTTAAGAGAAGAAGGAGATGCTCTTCTCTCTCTCTCTCTCTCTCTCTCTCTCTCTCTTATTCTCTCTCTTACTCATTCTCTTTCTCTTCCTTTTCTCTAATCTCTCGAGACGTTCTTCGAGGATTATTTACAGCATTCGAGGATTATTTACAGCATCATCCCTGTATCGTTCCGGTATTCAACGTAAATATATTTAAAATATTGATTTAAATCGTAATAATCGAAATACAAAACTGAACTTTATCGAATAAAATGTCAATTTTCCTCACGAGGAAATATAAATGTAATAGACCAAGAGAAAAAGAAAGAATGTGAAGTAAAGGAGAAAAGAAAGAGAGAAAGAGAGAGAGAGAAAAAGTAAAAAGAAGGGCAGAGTGCCAGGCAGCAGGAAGACAGGCAGTATTATTGCTTTAATCGATCAGCCCGATAATTCTATTACCATTTGCGTTATTCAAATAGTATTTAATTTTCCGCAACGTTACCTTTATTTCCCGATTTACATTTCATTCATTCAGAATTATCTCGCCTACCGCAACACCCTCACCTTCGTTCTACCCTCCCATCCACGCCTTACCAATCCACCAACCTTCTTCTCTCGTTCGAAGCGACAACCTTCGCGTAACTTCTTCTTTTTTGGTCATTTAAAAACTGCGGTCTTTCGTATCTGCATATCGTTAACCTTTTCCATTTCTATCTTGGACGATGAAACGGTCAGATGCAGTATGCATCGACGTTAAATGTAATCAGCGGCCAACGTTGTCTTTTTCGTTCGTCTTTTTTCCTTTTTCCCACGTCCCCGTCCCCGGCGTTTGCTCCCGACTCAACTTTCTTTTTTTTCTTTTTTTCTACCGCGAACGATTTGAAATTTCAATAGCTACTACGCCTTTTTAAAATGTATAAGAGTCGGTGCGAGTCACCATTAATGGCTTTATGCAAATCGTACTAATGCTTTTAATCGAATTTGAATTTGCAGTACCCGGTCTTTCAACATTTCCCCGATACATTCGTTTTAAAATACGATTTTCAATCGATAAAGACAGATCTCTTCGTAGCTTTTCGATCTTCACCATTGAAATTTACGTTAACTCATAGAATACTTATCCATCTATTCAAGCTTTATATGTAGTAGGAAGGATGAAAGTAAAGAGAAGAAGAGAATCGATTATGAAGCGAAAGGATGAATGTGTAAGGAGAGAACGCAAGAAGACAGGCTAATAAAACGCACGACGAAACTCTGAGACTCCTCTCGAATCGTTTCCTCGCAAGAAGTCGACGTCTTCTGTGCTAACAGTCTGAAGAACAATTACGATATTGCCTCGACGTTTGCATAGAGGAGGCTCCACTCTTCTCTATCTCTATCTCTTTCTCTCTCTCTCTCTCTTCTCTTCTCTCTTCTATTCCCTTCACTTCTCTGATTCCGTACGCTCGTAGCTTTGCTACATTTCCTCGCGTGGAAAATGTGTTAGTGAATCGTATTGTCGTCCTTCTCGTATTTCGCAACCTTCTATAAAATCGACTACATTCTCTGCGGTGAGTACACTTCAGTCTACCGTCGTTCTTCTTCTTTTCTTATTCTTATTCTTTTCTTCTGTTTCTTCTTTTAAATTCCTCAAGACCTTTTGCCAACGTACTTTCACCTTCTACTTTTTTCTCTTTAAAAAAAAAAAATATATATATATATATATATATATATCTACTTTCCTCCTTTAGCCACGAATATGATTACACTCGTTCCGTTCAGATCATATTTCATGCTAATAAAAAAAAAAGTCAATGTATATTTCAATTTATAGAAGTGATATTCTTGTCTTGTGTGCTTAGCGCTTCAAAAATTTTCTACGTGTGTATACATACTTATGTATCTCAAAGAAACGTTTTCCGCCATCGAAGAAAGAAATATCATTAAAAAATCTCAAATGTCTTTAAGAAATAAGAATGTAATAGATTTAATCGAAATACTCGGGTGAAACATGAAATTCTAAATAAATTATCTATTCCTATTGACATGGCCGCAACGTGAATCTATCTAATTAGAACATTAATTAAATAGAAAATATAGTAATTATGAAATTTCGATAATCTATCACACCGAGTAATACTGTACGTATAGAATTTAATCTTTTTTATTGTTAACGACAAGAAAAAAATCGGATTATTTATTTTTACAATTCGAAAACAAAATATATGTATCGATTTTCAAAGAAATATTTTATTAGATTTTTTCATACTACTTTAAATATTTATTAACGCGATAATAATTTCTCTCTCTCTCTCTCTCTCTCTCTCTCTCTCTCTCTTTCTCTAGGTTCGTCTATTTATTTTCTTGCCTGAAAATTCAATAAGATTTTTCTATAAGTACAACCTATACGATGAATTTCAAATGCTACGACTCGTCGTAGAAAAGACGTTGATGTTGTTAAAAGGAAAAAGAAAAAAAAAGAGAAAAAAAAAGAAAGAAAAAAAGGAAAATGCTAAGAAAGATACCGCGAAGCTGGATTATTTAATTAAAGCGTGGTCGTACTTGGAAGAAAAATTTTTCTGACGAGGAACCAAAGGATCGATAAGAAGGAAAAATAGGCGAGTGATCTCGAACGAGAAACGAAAAACTTTCGAGTTCGGCCGATGTAAAAGTAAGGAAAGAGAAAGATAGATAAAAAGAGAGAGAGAGAGAGAGAGAGAGAGAGAGAGAGAGAGAGAAAAGGATAAGAGAAAGGGAGACGTGGAAATTTCTGGTGCTTTACCTTATCCAACCACCTCGTCCGACGTCGGTTTTCTCGTGAAGTAGATATCGGAAACTTTCTTTAATCAAGTGTTTGATCAGCGGACTCACCCTTCCTTTTCATTGTCTTCGTTCCTCACCAATCTCGCTTCGTTGAAGGTTACTTATAAGTAATATAAAAAAATCTCTGATACATCAATTGATATTACATTATATCGTGTAAAAAGATCTTAAACGAGATAATGTTTTAACAAATTACAAAAATGTTCACCAAATTGATATAATCAATTGATAAATCATAAATGAACGAACTTGTATCTACTACATATATTCTTATTCTTAATCATTATTGCCTTTATGTTAACTTGATAATTTTTCTTTTCTTTTCTTTTTTTTTTTTTTTTTTTTTAATAAAAATATTATCGGTATTGCATACGTGCATTATCAATTATATGTTGATGTTAATACTCGTATATTTGAAAATTTGTAAGCGTTTCACAACATTGGCAATGAGCATCATTTAGAAAGAGAAACAGAAGAGGAAGAAGAAGAAAAAAAAAAAGAAGAAGAGAAAGTCAAGGTGCAATGAACGGTTACTAAGAATCACGCGACACATAACGGTGCATTAAGGTTGGCTCTAAAAACGACGATATAATTACATGAGGTTGCGCTTGAGCCATGATTTAGGATGGTATAATGTATAATTCTTAGGTCGAGGGTAGAGCGCGAGTACGAGCGCGTACGCGAGAGACCGAGCGAGCGAGTGCGCGCGCGAGAAGCCACCCTCTCGTTCACGCCAACCCTGTCTTCCTCGAGCTTGCTCTAGCAGCACGGCATCGTTAGTGTAAAGTGTAGGTGCTTTCGCTAAAGTATCACGCCTATAAAATGAAATTAAACTTCCAGCAAATTTATCGGCTACCGCGGTATTGCGGCGGCTCTTCTCTCTTCTTCCTCTCTTTCTCTACATCGTACGTATCCCTTCCTCTCTTTCTCTCTCTTCTCTATTTCTCTGATTCCTTCTGTCAGCTCTATTACATCGCCTCTAACTCTCGCGGTATCGCAAAAATCGAATCATTCAATTTTCAATCATCTTACGATTATATAAAATTAAATATAAATCTCTCCAAGTTTTTGTATCGTCTTAAAAAAAAAAAAAAAAAGAAAAAAAATAACAAAAGAATTATATAATGTAAAATTAGAAAACATTTAATCTTCCAATATGAAATGACAATAAATTTTCAATCTTTAAATGTGTAACAGATGTGTAACAAAAAATAGTGTAACGAAACAAATGCGAAAAAAAAACGGAAATATTATCAAAAATATTTGATATATTTATTGACGTGTTAATTAAATGACGTTATAAAAGATGAAACTCGATTCTTCTCAATCGATAAATTCGAAAAGTTCTCAACCGTATAAATGATTGACGTGACAATAATCGTATAAAACTTTTTTCTTTCTATTCATTTTTTTTCTTTTTTTTTTTTTTTTTTATATACACTAAAATTTGAAAAGGAAGAAAATTCTTATTTATCTTCAACTATCTGAATAAATATCGTAAACTGCATACAACATGTTTATAATTTATTAGTCACATTATAGAAACTATCCTTGAAATGTGATCAATACTCAGTATTAATTCATTAAATATAATCTAACCATGATAGTTCATGTCGTCACGAGACAATTTAAAACGATAATAATTTCTTTTAATATAACCAAACGAAAAAAGCGTTTACATTTATTCATGTATTTTGATAATACGACAATATATTGATTTGTGTAATTTTTTGATAAATATCAAACTCGAGGTATATAATATAAAAAATAAAATATAAGAAAAGATTGAATTTCTCTTTTCTTTTATCGTCGATCATGAAATAAATTCGCATACATTTACACTGCTGATTTATATAAATTTATTACTTGTAAATATCTTCCAATCGAAATACTCGAGGTATATAATGTAAATAATAAAGAATAAAAATAAAATTGAATTTCTTTCTCTTTTATCTTCGATCATGAAATAAACACGCATACATTTACACTACCGATTTATATAAATTTATTACTTGCAAATATTTTCCGATAGAAATACTCGAGATATATAATGTAAATAATAAAGAATAAAAATAAAATTGAATTTCTTTCTCTTTTATCTTCGATCATGAAATAAACACACGTACATTTATATTGCTGATTTATTTAAATGTATTACTTGCAAATATCTTCCGATCGAATAATTTTTAAAATATAAAGAAAACGATATATTTTTATAATGATACGATTATACGAAATAATATTGAACTATTAAAAAATTATAAAGTGTCTTCTCCTTTTGTTTTAGAAAATCGTTAATTTAAACAAATTATCCAACTGAAATCATTATTAGAGTTAAGGCAAACATTTTTGATGAATCATTTTTATCTATTGTAGCAAACGTGTATATATATATGTATGTGAATAACGCGATCGTTTTTAGAGTAAAACTGCAAAGTACAGATAGAAAAGTGTTGGAAATCTCAAACGGGAGAAGATAGAGGTAGTAGTTAAAAAAAGAAAAAAAAAAAAAAAAGAAAAAAAAAAAAAGAAAAAAAGAAGGAAAGAGGAAGTTTGAACGGCAAGACTCGTGGAATTATATCCACGCTTTCGAGGCCCTTAAGCCGGTCTCTCTCTCTTTCCCGTTTTATCGATAATGCGTCTCTGGAAGCAGTTCAGTCTTTGTAATAAATCGCGCTCGGGGACGCAGTTAGAGGGGATCAAACCGACATCTCCGATACTAGACGAGTCTCCGTGTCTCCTTTTTCGTCCACCATTCCTCTCGAACACTTTCTTATCGTCTGCTATAAATCGATATAAATTTTCGAGGATCGTAACACTATCGATCCACCGGATATACATACATATACTCAATGGTCCTTTTACGTAGAGTATAAAGATTGAAACTCGATGGAGAATTGATTTATCTATGTGTATATTACATTCTTCGTCAAAATGATATTTTCTTATAATTATTTTTTTTTTTAATTTACGATAACAATTAAATTACTTTTTCTTTTTTTTCTTTTTTTTTTTTTTTTTGTGGAATATATAATTAACGAGAGAATTAGATATTTTTCTTCGAGCGTATTATCGATTCTAATTAATTCAATATTTCTTAACTTTCTACGTTTTATTTGTTTATTTATTAGAGAGGATGATTAATGATACAATCGACTGGATTCTTTATCTTTCTTTTCGAAATGACCGCTGCGTATCGTCTGTTTCGTGAATCGCATCGTTGAAGTCACGAGTTCTTTGTCGACCGGTTACCAACGGCAGATCAAAGGACAAACGAGTTCATACAATTTTTTAATGATTAACTTATCCTTGAATGGTACATTGTTTTGACGAGTAGTTTTTATCAATGGATTTAAAGTTTATAAAAACAAATCGTACGTTTTCTCTCAACTTTTACACGATATTTTTATAATTTGTCAATTTTCTTCGTTATTATTTTTCCTTTTTCACATATATCTTTTTAATTATCTCTATTGATGATTTGAATTAATGAAAAATATATTGTTACAATTTTATAAAATGTATCTACGCTTCAATCAGTCATTGATCTCTGAGAAAGTCTATCCAAGAGCAAGTCCCAGCTATAGGATGCGTCAACACGATCCATCGAACCAGAATGCGTCATTTTCGGAAAATATTCAATTACAAAGGGCTTTGATCAAAATTATACGCCAGAGACATGATGTAATTAAGTAATATTGTTTGTCTATGCTTCAACGTAATTTATTAATTATCTTATAATTTATATACGTAAAATGATGTATAGATGATATATCGTAAATTTTATCAAAGCTAATTTCTCTTTATCAAAATCTTTCTCGTGTAATATCACACACTTGTTGTCCTGGTTTAACATACTTAAAAACATTAAAGAATAAAATATGATAGCATTTATTATATCTCGTTCAAATTAAGAACATATTTCGGCCTACATAGAACACAGAATTCACATGACCGTATCGCCCACATGAAACGGTAACCATGTATATATACAGGGTGATTCATTAATAATTAGCAAGCATTATTTTCAAACTTGTATCAGTAAATATTAGCATAAATTGTTTTTATCGTATTTTAGAATACAAACAAAAATTTGCTTTTCTCTAGACGAATAAGTTAACTTGTAATAGTAATATCTTTTTTTCTTTTTTTTTTTTTTTATCGGAGATTTGATATAAATTATAATTTCTGACAGAATCTCTTTAATGATGAACTACATTTCTTACATAATATATACGTAAAAAAAATTGTTTAATAATTAAAAATCTGATTAATAACGCATGTCAAAATATATATACGAATATTTTACTTCCATTTTATATTAAGAATAAAATAAAATTTTAATAAACATTAAATAATTATATACGTATTTATTATTAAACAAAATTTACACAAGAGTCATATTCTTATCATCAATGGCTTCATGAATAATCTTTTGTAACAGTTTATGAATCATCCTATATACTTATCGATGCATATACGTACACACACATGTATCTATATAGTACATAGATACACATTGGAATAGCGATTGCCGATGAGATTCAACTAAGATACTTTACATTATATACTGTCACGTTGAACGCGCGCAATCCCGATAAGGTGAACCACAAATGACTTTTGATATAATATCAAATCCTATATGCAGATATATTCAAAAATTATTATTCCTTTCTATAATAAATTATCGATATTTTATGACGACAAAAAGAGATATGATAGATCATGCCAAAAAATTTTCCATTATAAATAATTTAGAGATTCTTTACAATCAATTATTTTTTATAGGTCGACTTGCAATTAAAAAACAAGCGAATTGATTGTTTATTTATTGAAATTGCAACAACACGATATTAAACCAACCGATTGTCCTTGTTTTACTCTGTTATATCTAAAACGAATAAAATAGATGGTTAACGGAAAAAGATGCGATAAGGCAGACCGAGAACTAACATTGCAGACTTCCACCATCTGTTTTCATCGAGAGATTCGTGCTATAGCTATATATATATATACATACATAGCTATCAACGTCGTAAAGGATCACCGAAAGGAAGATCTATTTTCATTTAAGAAAGATCACGTTTCCTCTGATTAACGAGACAACCTCGCATTCAAGGTACTCTCTTCTTCAACTTGCTTGTTATTTACATTTCCTACGAAAGATATTTATTTTTATTTTCTTTTATTTTTTTTCTTTTTTTTTTTTTTTTTTTTTTTTTACAACACATGTTTTAGAAATGAAACATGTCGTCGTAACATCTTGACGATTTATATAACAAAAGAAAAAAAAAATGGAGAAACATAGATCCATCATCGTTTAACTCAACTAACTGTAATTAACGTTTTATATATATATACTAAAGGAAAAGTTTTTAAGTGAACCAAAAGTTCAGCATACTCTTTTTCGGACTTCTTAGACAAATTTTTCTCAGATTGTAAGTTTAGAAAGGACTTGAAAAAGAGTAATTGATACTTAAAATCATTAGAAGAACTTTCGGCCTGACCTTATTTTTGCGTCCAAGAGCAAAGTGATAATCTTATAAGGTGTAAAAAAGTGAAGTGGGGAAAAAAAGAAAAAAAAAAGAATAACAAAAATCACTGATAGTTTAATTTCATTAAAAAAAAAAAAAAAAAAAAAAAAAAGAAAAAAACAACGTATCTAATTAAACTCAATTAAATTCATTCCACCGTTAAATGATATCGTTATTGAACAATTAGTATTACTCCGTAGTATACCTTGCACTTGAGTTTACATTATTTCAAAAGTGTAAAGTACACATCATCATATTCTTGGCTCGAAAATATAAACATCCGTAAGATTTTTCAGATCTTCTCACGTATAAGAACGAAAACGGAAGAAGAAATAGTGGCGTCTATTTAAGTATGTTGACCGAATATGCTATTGGTTGATTAGATGAAAAAAAAAAAAAAGAGAAGAAGAACGAATAAGAGAGAGAGAGAGATAGAGAGAGTGAGAGAGAATAAGAGGGGAGAAAGAATTCAAAAGACTTCGTCAGAGATAAGCGAATGAGGTGATGGTTTCGTAGTCGCGTTGTTGGCCACGCATAGGCTCAGAAAGAGTACGTCAAGAGGCTTCGTTGCTCTCTTCTGCAGACACACAAGGTCTCTATAAATGCGTGCGCGTTCGTTCATGACTACCAGTCGACACCGGTGGGAGGTCAGTCTCTTTCGCGGCGAGGCGCACGCGTCAAACGTATAACGCAACAACGTTTCTCTTCATCCTTTTCTAATCTCATACTCCGTTCTTCCTTCTCCGATTCTCTTTAGCTCCCTCTTCTTCGTTATCACTTCACTTGACAATGACGAAGATTCATCGTAACGCGGTGCATCATCAAAGTGCATAAACGACGTGGATGAAGTTGTTTACGCGCGTAATAATTCAATCGTGAATACTAGAAATTGCATCGTTCGATTGATCGAATGGATCGTTCGATCCTAGAAGAAAAGTGAAAGTTCATTGATTTTCATTCGATATCGAGATAATTATGAAATAGATAATAATTGAAGGAAAGGGGAAAAAATATCAAAAGAAGTTAATGAACGTAGATGAAAAAGGATAGAAGAGAGATGTATCTAGGTCGCACATATTCTACACGATCTAACATGAAAGTTTTCATCGATCATTCACTTTAGAAGGTTCTTCATATATATCGTGGAAAAGGAGTTAGTTATATATCTTACTGTTTGTAAAATCTTTTTCTTAAATACGAGCAATAGACACGCAAAGGATGTAATCAAAACGATGAAAGAGCTCTGATCAATTCTCGTTCATTCGTATGTGATAAGAACGATACGAATTGATTAAACGCGAGAAGTATATTTTACTCTTTCTTACAAAGAGAATCGTATATCGATAAACTTTTCTTTTGTCTCTTTTGTAAATGTTTATACGCGTTTATACATCGTATACGTCTATTCTATCGATATTTAAGATAACTCGTAATTTAAACCACAGTATCATGTGCGGTCGGATCGATTATAAACGTTTCTATGAGAAGAGTGTCAGATCAATATATCATCACTCATTAAAAGTGAATGTACGCAAGTAAGCGCGTGGCTCTCAACGACAAACGAGTCAACGACTTACCCACCGGCCACTTCGTAAAATTTTTTTCCACCAATCCAAATACGTTTGCATATTCGTATGTTGTTGGAATGCAAAAAGTGCAATCGAGCATTCTTATTCTATTAAACGAGATTACGTAGACAACGAACTTTCATAACGAATCGAAAAAAAGTTTTACGAAACACACACACACACACACATACATATATATATATATATATATTGTTTTGCAAGTAAATAAAAACGTTTAATCGACATCAAAGAAACAAAGATAGTAAAGATGTTGGAGCTATTAAAACAACTTTTAGATCCTTTCCTTTTAACTGGCCTATTTTTCGGCATTTTGTACTTTTATTTTACGGCGACTTTTAATTATTGGGAAAACCTTTGTGTACCATTCAAGAAACCAACCGTTTTGGTCGGTAATTTTGGATCCTTGTTATTATTTCGAAAATCTCAGCCAGAAGGAGTGAAGGAAATGTACGAGTGGTTCAAGAACGAAAGATTCTTTGGGGTTTTTCGTGTTAGATCACCGATTTTAATACTAAGGGATCCTGATCTTGTCAAGAGCATTTGCGTTAAGGATTTCGTTTGTTTTGGAAACCGTGGCATACCAACTAATAATTCCCAGGTAATAGAAACTTTATGGTTTTAAGCCGGCAATAAAATACGTATTAAGATTTATCAATATAAATTTTTATTATCATTTTCACATTTTATAGCTTTCACTAATGATAATAAATTACCATTGTATTTCATTTCGTACATGAAATGGTGGACGTTTTGACGTATAAAAAAAAAAGAAAAAAGAAAGGAAAAAAAGAACGACATCAAATTAAAAGTAAATATTTCAAAAAATATAAAAATAAATATTTCCAGGATCCATTGTCAGGACATCTTTTCAATTTGGAAGGAAGAAAGTGGAAGGGTCTGAGGTCTAAGTTAACGCCAACTTTTTCCTCGGGCAAACTAAAACGAATGTTTTATTTATTAGCCGAGTGTTCCGAAGAATTTCGAAAACTCATCAATAAAGCTTCCGAAGGAAAAACAGCTGTGGAGGTTCGTGAGCTAGCAGCAAAATTTACGATCGACGTCATTGGTAGTTGTGCTTTCGGCATACAAATAAATGCTTTGACCGATGAAGACTCCGAATTCCATAGGGCTGCAAAGAAACTCTCAAGGCCAAGTTACAAAGCGACGTTGTGGAGGATGCTTCGTACAGCCATGCCTAAGATCTATAAGTTTCTAGGCGTTCAGGTCATCGATCCTGAGGTTACTATGTTTTTCAAGAACGTCGTGTCGCAGATGATCAAGCAACGAGAGAGCTGCGACCAAAGGAGACACGATTTTATGGATCTTTTAGTGGAACTGAAGAACAAAGGAAGCTTGGAAAACGACATAGGATCGATATCGCAAGCATTGAACGAAGAGGACGTTCAAGCCGCAAAGGAAATTGGTAAAAGCAATGACCATAAAAGAATTTAATGTTATTATTTTGTTTGAACAATCGTAACGACGTGCTCTATATGATATCCGTTATTTCGCATTTTATTTACAGAGAACAATAATTTTAATGGCTTTGAACATTATAGCTGTTCATTATTAACTATAGAATTGTGTCATTGATAGCTTATAAAAAACGATTGAAAGGCGTGAAATCGTTTATTGTAGTTCGTTCTCGAGAAAAAAAAACCAATTGAGATTATAACAGGCATATAATATTATAATCACAATCGTTGAAGCAATCAAGAAACGAGAGAAATTTGAATATTTTCGATTAAATTGTTATGGTTCATTGACGATAAACATTTCTCTGTTCATTATTACTCTTTATTACTTTTAGCAACGTGTTAAATACTCTTCTCTCGGCTTAATACTAACTAATTTAATCGAGTCACGAACCAGTGCTCTTTCCTTGTAAATATTTATCACGTTCTTCGAATTCCATTGGATATTAAACATATATTGTCGAATAAATTGCACAAGAATATTCCATGTCTATAAATGACTTTGCTATTTTTATAAAGATACGTTCGATAATAAAGGAAATATACCAAAGGAGTTCGTAGTTCTGTGCTGCGCGTTCCATCGAAAGAAAGAAAGAAAAAAAAAAAAAAAAAAAGAAAAAAAACATAAGGCCTCAAAACGACTAGAAAAATGCGGTTCTTCTAGAAGGGGGCGGACCGAGATTGGACGCGTCGTGTATCATGCCGTGTAAGGAGTATTACGAAGCTCTTTTCGTAGTGTTTTATTCATACCGAACGTTTGATAAGAAGTCGACCTTAGGTTATGTAAATTACTCTCTTACAATTTCCGTCGAAGAAATGCTGTTAAAATAAGCGCCAGTAAAGTAATCCGTCCTATAATTTTATTTGTTTTCTGTCGCGTCGCAGACGTATCGCACTAGGTAAAAAGAAAAGGAAAAAAAAAAAAAAGAAAAAAAAAAAAAGAATATGAGAGAACTCGGACCATATTTGGTAAATACATAACAACGATAAAACCTCGTTTTCTCTAAGCTGATCAAGCGTTTCTCGGTGTAAGTTATGAAAAATCAGCGGATTTTTCACGTCGAAACGAAGTTATCATGACCTACTTTCAAACGTATCATTTCCAGAGCTCGATGAAAATTCCATCGCGGCCCAGGCCTTCGTTTTCTTCGCGGCCGGTTACGAAACTTCGTCCAACACAATAGCGTTCTGTCTGCACGAATTGGCATTAAATGAAGAAATTCAGGAGAAGACTAGGCGAGATATCAACGACTCCATAACGAAACGAGATGGGAAATTAACTTACGATGCCGTTCAGGATATGAAATATCTCGACTTGGTGATATTAGGTGAGTTCATTAGCTTTGTTCGAGCTTAAAAAAAAAAAAAAAAAAAAAAAAGGAAAAAAAAGAAAGAAGTATTTACTTCCTGTTTTTTTCTTTTTTTCTTTTTACTAATTTTTTCCCTACAGAAACTCTCAGAAAATATCCACCAGCTCCGTTACTCTCTCGAAGATGCGAATACAAATATCAAATACCTGGAAGCAACGTCGAACTACCAGCTGGAATGCGAGTTGTCATACCAATTTACGGTCTCCATCATGATCCGGATCATTATCCAGATCCTGAGGCATTTAATCCTGACAGATTTATGGATGATAACAAACGAACGAGACATCCATATACTTATCTTCCTTTTGGAGAAGGGCCACGCGCTTGTATAGGTGCTCTTAAAATATAATTACTTTTTTTCGGATAATAAAAGAAAATGTAATGAGGATATAAATTTTCGTTACGGAGATTATATTTACGAGGGTATTAATTATTCTTTGTTATGGTTAGTTCAATGGTTTTATTGTATTTATCGGTTGCCGTGTAAAACACAAAGTAATTGCTATTTGATGAATATTTCGTTGGTATGAAAAAATGCTATCGTTAATCCAATTATATCCTTGGAATTTTGCATACCACAAGATTCTTAATCGAAACTTACGTCATCGATATTTACACTGCCACAAAGCCCGTACGAAGATAAGGCTTATCATTGTTTTTATAGTAGTAATTATTAAAACAAGCGGCTCTAGAGTTATTAGAGTGATCCGATAGTATATTTTTTTTCTCTCGATAATTTCATAATAACCTTATTTTCGTCGATAACATATTTATCATCTTCAATAGGTAAATAATCGTATAAATATATCCTGGAATAATATTTATTATGATAATATATTATTACGTTTCGTAATATGATAGATTTACGATGCATGTTGACGTACTCATATTTAACTATATTACTATTTTTATTTCTTTTTATTTCTCAGGAATCCGATTCGCACTGCTGCAAATTAAAATTGGAATAATTTCCTTCTTGAGAAGTCATGCGGTTCAGGTTTCCAATAAAACGGTTCATCCTATTAAATTCAGCAGGCGAAGCCTTGTTACGACGAGCGAAGATGGATTTTGGCTTAATATTATTACTTCAGAATCTGACAATTCTTAAAATATTTTCAATCATTAGAATTTAATGTACTTAACGTTCTTTGTTTTTTTCTTTTTTTTTTTTTATTTATTTATCATTTTCTTTTTTTTTTTTTTTTTTTTTTTTTGTTTTTTTATAAAGATCATCGCACTTTGCTAAATTTCTAAGTCATTCTCCATATAGAAATAGACTGATATACTTGAAATTTTACTTGGTATTATTAAAATTAAAAATATAATTGATAAAGATCTTTAAATAGAATAGATAAGAAAATACACGTTCTTTTATTTTTATACGTTTTCTATTTTTTTTTTTTTTTTTTTTTTGCAATAATAACGGCTTTGATCATTTTACAAAAGTCAAGTCCTTTCGAAAGATTTTCTATGCAATTGCAATTACTGTATTACCCCATTATTTATCATACATCTCTATTAATTAAATAAAAAGTAATAATAAATTATATAAGTGTTCATTTTTCTTTTTTTCTTTTTGTTTCCTTTATCACAAAAATTACATTGAAATTGAATGAATGAATGTATATCCATAATGAAACAATCTTAATTATAGAAAATAATTTATTTCATAAACCAATTGATACGATGATCAATTCAATGAAAATATTCTCGTGAGAGAAACAGAAATAAATTCATTAACAAGCTCTCATTCGTAAGTTGTCTATAAAATAAAGATATATAAAGGAAAAAAAAATTAGAAACATGAATGATCTAATAAAATTAAGCGTACAAGATAAGTTGAAAACAAATAAGATCGTGAATTGAGGTAATCTTTCAAAAAAAAAAAAAAAAAAAAAAAAAAAAAAGAACACAAGTTACATTTACGTTTTAAATCCTCTTTTTTTCTCCCCCTTTACGTGAAAGACAAGGAAAACAAAAAAATAAATAAAATCATAGAAATTCTTTTTAGGTGGATTTTTAATTCGTAAAAGTTTGTCAAAGTTCAATCGATACGCTTATGCGAATAATGATCTCTAATATCGAACGGAAAGGAAAGATGAGTATGTGAAAGGAACAAAAAAAGGGTGATAATAGGAGAAAGAGATAGAGATCGATAGAGAGACAGAGAGAGAGAGAAAAGGGTGAAAGAGAGAGAAAGAGAGAAAGAGAGAGAGAGAGAGAGAGAGAGAGAGAGAGAGAAATGAATCTAAAGAGTGAGAGAAGCAATGAGATCCAGCAGCTGATCGCTCAACGCTCCGGAAACTATTACGTTCGCGCGTCATGGAGTCGCTTTGAGACTCTTTCAATTACAAAGCCGCACATCCGATCGAGTTTTATTAAAGCGTCGGCGTGTCGGCGGCCGCTACCAGTCGCCACCAACGCACGATGTACAAGTACGGTAACGTGATGATAGTGTTGGTTATGCGGCGTTTACACGCATTTCTCCTATCGTCGTCGTCGTCGTCGTCGTCGTCGTCGACTTCCTCATCATTATCCTTACCTTCTACAACAAACTTCAAGTAGGTACATTCTTTTCCTTCGTCGTGAAAGAAGAAGGAGAAAAGAAAAGACAGGAAAGTCGTAAAAGGCGACGTGAACGTATAGCGCCCGACGAAACGCGACAACGACATCGTGGAAGACGTGAGAGTTTATAGAGGGGAAGAGGAAGAAAGAAATATACGAGATGTCACGTCCCCGATCATAACGGTGTTTCAACCTTCGAATATATATTTTCTTTGCCCGTTTTTAAAAAGCTATTACGTTCTTTTCGTCCTAACATCTGTCAATAAAACTGCAATAAAAATAATGCCACGGTGAGCAATCAATGAAATATCTTTGTATCTAACAATCATTTAGACGCACTCTTTCTAATTCTTTTACGTCTCTTCCTTTTGCGGGAGAGCATTAGTCCGGAACACGATAAGGACATTTAAACGCACTAATACTGATACTTCTTTGGAAGTGTATCGGTGAGCACATCGACTTTATCACAACCAGCATTCCATCCACTAACGTAAACATTATTCTCTTTCTTCGTTTTTATAAGGTTATCTTTTCTTTGAATTATAACTTCTAGATATAGTATAATATAGAAAGCAGGTTTGTTTACTATATTAATTCTTTGATAACATTGTAAACGATAATAATCGAATAATCTATTTTCATATAAAATTATTATTATTTAATATAAAATGAATATCATTTTGATTTTATTTATAGGTTATACCTTAAATTTTCTTTATTAACTGTTCATAATTCTAAACGTTGCTTCATCATGTTATTTATATTAAACTTTATAAACTTATTATCATGAATTTTATTTGTCATTGTTTTTAATAATTTCATATCTTATTTATAGATGTCAAACTGCAATAGAAATATACACACGCAGGGATCTTCGGTGATAGACTATGAACGTCAATTTCAAGAAGATTTGGAACGTGCTCAAGCATTAAGCTTAGAGAGTTTAGCTTTAGAAAAATTTAAGTTACAAAAGCAACGCTTAGAATATAATAATATACAGCAATCATATCGATCACAAAATAATTCACATGATAGAAGTAGTGGCTCAACAACGACAGATGGTGCTTTGCAAGGTGATAAGTAAGTAGCATTTTTTACTTTGGACATAGTATAATATTTAAAATTAATTAATTATGGTTATTAATAGATTACAATTTAGAAGTCGTCCACGTCCTGGATCTTTTAATAAAAATCAATCGAAAAATGCTGCGCTATTGGCTCCACCACCATCAATTCCATGTAGGAGAAATTCAACAACCGCTACATCCAGCCAGGAAACATCTATTGATTTAATTAATTTTACAAGCCCTATCAAGCAGGATAGTTTATCAGAATATTGTACGCCACCTCCACCACCTCCGTAAGATGCAGCATATTTGTTTTGAAATTTACAGATGTTATTAAAATGATCTATGATTATGTAATATATTTATATAAATAGGAAAACGCCAATAGAACCAAAGTGGGAAACTCATCCTGCCTTATTAAAAAAGCAAGCAAGGATTTCAAGAAGTAATAGTTCTGTAGGATCTTATCAATCTCGAGATTTTAGATATCATTCACTTTCGCCTGGGCCTAGATCTTCTACTGCACCTTGTACACCTGGAACACCAGGAATTAGTCCTATTCTGTCAAGGGCCAGTAGTAGCAATAGCAATGTACCTGATATAACACCACAGGCAAGTAATATGTTTTCATATTTTTCTTAATCTATTTATATAAATCTGTGTGTGTGTGTGTGTGTGTATGTTTATATGTATACTATTTATATTACATATATCCGTATATATTTTGGTAGCTTCTTAGTAGAATAGTAAATATTTAATATATTATTTTTATTACAGCCTGCATGGAATTTCTTTGCTTTTAAAAATTATTTATCTCCACAGGTACATCCATTTGTATGTTAAAAGGTTGAATTGTTAAATTATGTATATACATAATTATTATACATAATATTGAATATTAAAAATTAGTTGTATTTGAATTATAAGTATTTAATAAGTGATATACTGAATTATGGGAATAAAAATAGATGAAAGAGAATTGGAATAATTAGGTATTATTATTACATATGTATACATAATGAAATATATTGTTTATTTCAGATTCCTCCCTTGCCTTTGAATTACAGACCTGGCATTTCAGCACCAGCTGCCTGTAATATGTTAGTACCTACATTTTGTGCAGATGAACAGTTAAATGTATTGAAAGTGATAGAAAAAAAACCAAATAGTAATCTTATAGATTTGAATACTTGTGAAGAAATAGAGGATAAAACAAATGTTAGAGTCAGTGTATTAGAAGCATTTGATCCTTTACTTGTTAAGACTGATGACAACAGTGAATACACAAAGGATATTAAGGATGGTACGCTATTAATTTTATATTGGTTAAAATTCATTTCTTTATATTAATGTGTTATTTAAATATATATATATATTCTTTTTTTGTTTAGATATTCAATCTCAAATTAGTGGATCTGTATATGATCCTTTTGATCCTTTTGACTACATGTATAGCACAAATGAGAGTGTAAATTCAGATCCAGTATATGTAGCAGTAGAAAAGTCAGGCAAATCTCAAGCTGTTTCTCCAGCTGCACCTCCACCACTGCCACCAAGAAATTCATCTGCATGGAATACTATTGAAAGAAGGAGAACATCCTTGGACCGCCGTGTAAGTTATATATATATATATATGATTGTTATATTTTTAATTTTGATATTGTTGCAATATCTTTTGCAGCAGAAAAAACAATCTCGTTTATATGAAAACGTAACGGTAATAAAAACTAGACCATCCAGTAATGATGGTGATCTAAGTGCTTTTCATCAAATGGTTAAATCGGTGCGAGGTTCGTAAGAAGAAGAACGATTTTCCATTCTATGTCAATCATAAATTAATTAATTTAATTTATATAGGAGAATATCCATTTAACAACCCTAGTACAAATATTGGTCACGTAATAAGTCCAACAATGGAAAATTTATATCCTGAAGGCACAAGTATAAAATTAGTTGTGCATCCACAATTGTCAGATAACGATAAAGATTCTATTCCGTCCATTTCATTTACTTGTAATGGTACGTTCATTTTCGTGATATTTATAAAATGTAAACATTCTTTAAACATTATAATGAAGTTTTAATTGAAATATGTTTTTGCAGTGAATTGTAGCGTTGAACATGTTATTTTAAATGTAGCTTGTTCTTTGGAGGATGAAGATACAGTAAATGTAGAGAAGTATTGTTTAAGAGTTTGGGGCTTAGCAGAATATTTAGCTCCTAATACAACATTAGCACAATATGAATATATTCATCAATGTATTAAATTGGAGAAAGACATTGAATTAGCTATTATGACAAGGGCACAAATCAAAAAATCTATAGCTCGCACAGTAAATACTTTAACTTTTATTAATTAATTTACTAACTAATACTTTTTATACAAACTATAATTTTTACTTTATTTTTAGCTTCAAGATGATAATCAGGATCAATGTCTTAAATTAGAAGATATACTACCTAATGAACCATTACAACCAATTTCTTATGATACATTGCTTATCTTATTAGGTATACTTTAAAACAATTTTAATGAATTGAATTGATATCTAATTATAATAATAATAATTAAAATACTTTCTTTTTATATCGCAGAAACGGTAGAAAAAGAAATGGAGCGTGTAGAAAATACTGCGATGCAATTAGCAAGAACAAATCATGGTTCTGGTCTACTACCTCAACTCAAACCTCAAGGTGTAATTCAAGCTGTAAAGGCAGTTTCTGCTCTGATGGGAAACATTGAAACTTTCGAAATCACAGAAGCAGTAGATAATTTCGTAAATGCTTGCTGTCAATTTTTGCCACAAGTTCATACTACGAACATAGAGTGCAAGAAACCTGAAATTGTACATGAAGATGGAGATTATTCGGTTGTAACGTTAAGAACAAAGTTTCCTGATGTGATTACCTCCCATTGCCATAAAATTCGCGATGCAATTCAAGATCTTGTAGAAACTTATTGTCATGCTTTTAAAGTTGATTTTCAATTGAATAGTAGAGGAGAAAATTCTACAAGTAAAGACAAGTCTTTTATTTTTATAGCTAATTTATATAACAAATTATATATATGTGACTATATTTATTTATTTACAATTTAATAGATAGGCTAGTATCTTCGGAAGTTATAGATACTGTACTTGTACGAGTTGGATCATTACATAGATTACCAGGAAATTGGAAACATGATGATTACATTATTGCAGCTCAAATATTTCATGGTACAAGACCTGTTGGTAATCCTGTTTTATCAGAACCTACAACAGTAAGCTTGAGTTTTTATCCGAGAATTTTATTTAACTCTTGGTAAGTAATGCATTGGGTATTATAATATATTTAACAATTTTTTTTTTTTTTTTTTTTTTTTTTTTTTTTTTTTTTTATAAAATTATTATTGTATCGTTTAATATTAATTTAGGTTGGAATTCCGTGGGACCAGTGTATGTCAAGTTCCAAGAGAAGCTAGGCTAGTATTAGTTCTTTATGGACGTACTTTACAACCAACTGAACATGAATCAAATTCCGTATCAGAAGGTGCTATGAGAAAAGAAGAACTTGGTTGGGCTGCTATACAATTTTTTAACTATGATGGGTAAATAAATATAAAATCTCAAGTGACAATATATATCGTGTGATTTAAATCTATATGTTGCTCTTTGTTATAATTATATATATTTTTTTAATATCGTTTTAGTATTATGAGCCAAGGAAGTTTCTTTTTATCTCTTTGGCCTGCTATCGCGGATAAAAGATTAGGTCCTGCACCAGCACCCGGGACTCATCCTCATAGTGATACACATCCTATTATAGGATTGGAATTACCAGATTATGGAGGAAATGTTTTATTTCCAACAGAATTAAGAGATCACGATGTTGAATCATTGGATTTTAATTCATTGGATCAAAATACGCAGGAATTATTATTGGATATTACGCAGCAAGATACATTTTCAAGGTATTGATATCTGAATATTTAAATTATGAGAATATTAGATTTGATTAAAATTCTATTTTTATAACTTTAGGCCTCCTATAGATGAAAGAGAAATATTGTGGGAGAAAAGACATTATTTACACGACAAACCAGAAGCTTTACCTAAAGTATTATTAGCTGCACATAGTTGGGATTGGGCATGTTTGCCAGATTTGCATGCATCTCTTAGAGTTTGGAGTCCTTTACCACCTGTACAAGCTTTACAATTACTTTTGCCATGGTAAGTTACATTGTTGTATTATTAATTTCTTACATTTCATTGACTTTGCTGTGAGGACAAATTTTTCTTTTTTAAAAGCTTCACTATAAAAATATGTAAGTATCGCTGATCGACAATGTAAAAAAAGAAATAAAAATAAAAACAAAAACGTTCAATGTGCACAAGGGATTAATATTTTCTTTAGTTTTCCAGATATGAAGGTACGAGAAATGGCTGTTGGATGGATCAGAGAATTAAGTAATGATGAGCTCGTAGATTACTTACCACAATTGTTGCAAGCATTGAAACATGAAACATACGAAGCTTCTCCTTTGGCTAAATTTTTATTGGAACGTGCTTTGATATCACCAAGAGTAGCTCATCATATTTATTGGTTACTAACACAAGCATTACCAGGACAAAGTCCCCAGGTACAGGTTGGAATGTCGTCATCATGTATCATTTATTTTCTTCTTAATCCTTTCACTATCACGGAACTGATCACTAAAACATCACTGAATGAAATTCCATTCCACAAGTGTACAATTTGCGTGTCGACAGTCTCGCGTGTATAAGAATTTCTTTGATAATAAGAGAACGTGACAACAGATACGTTCTCTACGCACTCTATATAAATACAAAATATCGATACATTGAGAAATATTTACTATTTCGATAAATGATATATATTGAATAACCTTGGTCGTTTGTAATATGTAAACAGCTCAGTTTCGTGATAAACGACTTTTAGGGTATAGACGTATTAAGATATTAATGTTATTTCATGTGAAATCACGTACTATTATATGATTTCACATGACACTCATAGAATATAGAGGTCTGTGTTGTAATTACATCACGCTGTTCACGATATTACGTTTATTGGCACACCGAATTCACACCATTTAAGAATTTTATTTTATTGTTATGTAAGCTTAATGAAAGAATTATTTATAGAACGATATAATCATCAAATTAAATGGATTAAAAGATGTGACAAAAAAGAGACTTGAGAAAAAGTTTTATATCATTTTCAATTAGGCCATAAAAAAATACAAATTTATTTTTAATCATTCTAAAATATATGATATCTACTTATAGATATTTTTCTTGCAATTCTTTTACTAAATCACTATATTTTCTTAAATATATTTTCTCTTTGGATTTATTATCTATACTCAAGTTGATTTATGTATTTTATTCAAAGAGAAAAATACTACCAAATTTTCTATATCTTTTTTTAAATTGGAAGAATTATTGTTCGAGATATTATTAACAGAAAACAATGAGTGCGATTTCACGTGACGTGATATTAATATGTTTCTACCTTTGTACTCACTCATGGTAATGAAAGGGTTTAGTTTTTTTTTTTTTTCTCATATCTTTCACACTTCGCATAATAATAAAAATCCATTAACGTATTAATTAATATAGTATATTTGTCTTTTAGAATTCTGCAGAAATTGTACCAGAAGACGAAAAAGGTATCAGTTCTGCTAGATATCATAGAAGATTACAATTAATGTTGCGAGCATTGCTAGCAGTTATAGGAGATGCTTTAAGGAATAGTTTTCTTACTCAACAATTATTAGTTAAGGTATGTATCTTTGTTAGATATTTTCTTTTATATAATCATTATTTATTATATAATCTAACATATTATTTCTCAGAATTTAAATGAGGTTGCAGAAAATATTAAAGCCACTAAAGAGTCATTACGAATGGATGCACTCAAAGTTGGTTTACAAAATATACATTGTCAATTAATGGAGGATAATGGTACATGTTTACCGTTGTCTCCTAGTAAACAAGTATATGGAATCAATGTACAAATTTGCTCATATTTTCCATCATTTACACTTCCATTGAAAATTAATTTCATTAGCTGTGATAATGTATTATGTCCTGCAATCTTTAAGGTATTTAATTTATACAATAATATTTTTCTAATATTATCGATTATGAAAAAAATATAATAATTATATATATCACAGGTTGGTGATGATTTGCAGCAAGATATGTTGACTTTACAAATGATGCGCATTATGGATAAATTGTGGTTGAAGGAAGGCCTTGATTTAAAAATGGTAACTTTTGCATGTGTACCGACTGGTCACAAACGTGGAATGATAGAAATGGTAACAAATGCAGAAACACTTAGAAAAATTCAAGTCGAGTTTGGTTTAACGGGATCATTTAAAGATCGACCTATCGCAGAATGGCTAGCAAAGCATAATCCTTCTGAATTAGAATATGAAAGGGCAGTAGAAAATTTTACCGCGTCATGCGCTGGTTATAGCGTTGCTACTTACATTTTAGGAATTTGTGATAGACATAATGATAATATTATGTTAAAAACATCTGGTCATCTATTTCATATAGATTTCGGTAAATTTCTTGGAGATGCTCAAATGTTTGGAAACTTCAAAAGGTATAGATAATAATCGTAGAAATAATGACAATAGTTATTACATGGATTTTATTATTTTGTTAGAGATCGAACACCATTTGTTCTAACTTCTGATATGGCTTATGTAATAAACGGTGGTGACAAGCCGTCAGCCAAATTTCATCATTTTGTAGATTTATGTTGTCAAGCATTTAATGTTGTACGTAAACATGGCAATCTTATCCTACATCTTTTTGGATTAGTAAGTACAGTTAAATTTTATATCGTTATTATTTACAAGATTATTATTTTAAGTAGACGAACGAAAAAGCATATTTGTTTTTAATTTTCATCAATTCATCATATAAACGATGCGTTTCATTTATGATAAACTCTCTCAAGTTTTTTTTACGTGTTATATGCTTTGTTATGAAAACAACTAAACCGCGCAACGGAAAAACTTATCCACAAGTTTTATCAGAAAGCGGCCCGTTATCGTACTAAATTCTGCGCCTGGTACTTAATTAACGTTTATCGTTCGAGTCCTTATAACGTCGCAGTCAGAACAAATTGAACGATTAAATTATAAAAAGCATTGGACAAATTTCTTACGTGTTGAATAGTAGTGTTCGTTTCTATTGTAAAAATGTAAAAAATTGTGATTTCATTAATGGATAAATTCTAATAAAATTTGAATTTTGAAAAAAATATCACACTGTATGCATGTTAATATTAATTATTGATTCACAATGGAAAATTTATTATCGCAAAAGGAATTAAAAATGCAACTTTATAAACAAAATATTATACAACAAAAATTAAGTGATATTGAAATAAAAGAATTGTTAAATAAATCAAAGATGAACGAATATACAACTCCACAGATGACTTCATCTGGGATCTCTGGTGTTACAATGGATGCTGTTAGTTATGTACAAAAAGCATTGCTTCCAGGACAAACTAATCCTGAAGCAGCAGCAACATTTGCACGAATGATAGAGAGTTCATTGAAGAGTTGGTTTACGCAGTTTAATTTCTTTTTACATAACTTAGCACAACTCAGATTTTCTGGAGATCATAACGATGGAACATTATTATCTTTTATTCCACGTACATATACGTAAGTCTGGATTAATTTCTTATAAAAAAATATTCGGAATGTAAATTGGAATGTAATAAATTTGAAAAACAATATTCTTATATTTCTTATTTTTGCTTAGGATGCAACAAGAAGGGCAGTTAACAAGTGTACAAGTACATGGATATCAAAAAAGATATGATCCAGAAAAGTATTACATGTATATTTTACGTATACAAAGAAAAGGTCAAGCAGATCCTACATATCTTTTTCGCTCATATAAAGAATTTTGTGAATTTTATCAAAAATTATGTATACACTTTCCTCTTGCTAAAGTAGCCAGGTAATTAATTATAATATATATATTCTTGTTTATAATTCTTATCCTTTAATTTCTGAATTTGTTTTTGAAATTATTGTAGAACTTGACTCAATGTCAATTTTATTCTGTTCACCTTTTTGCATATGTTGTTTTGGATTATTTGATCCATTCTTTTCTATAAGTTGAATTGAATTTGAATGAGATATTGGACGATAAGTTCCCATATTAGATGTACTGTGGTATTTTTTTTTTATAATCAATTCAGCACGAAATCGTTTTAAACCCATTTTGGTCTTCCTCTTAACCTATGATAATCGATCAATCATTTATATTTAATGCTTAACTTATTTAAGATTCATTCGATAATATTTTCACATATTTATCTATTATCCTTTTTTTTTTTTATTTATTATTTTATTATAAATATGACTTACTTGCGAATATGATTAATTTTGTAGAATCGAGAATTTAATTTAACATACACATTTCTTTTAGATACAGTAAATTACTGTATTGTCTAAAAATTGTTATCTTGTATTCTTTTATATCTTATCAATCGAAATTCTTGGAGATTTTAATAATCGTCCACGGCATCGTGCAAACTTTTTTCTACATTCTTTCTGAATATCGAAGACAATATATTATTTATATATAATTATTTTGTTTAATTTAATTAGCTTACCAAGTGGTATAAGCGTTGGACGATCGAATATAAAGCAGGTAGCGGATAAAAGACGTGCGGACATAGAAAAGTTTCTCTTAAGTTTATTTAAAATGGCTCCAGAAATATCACAAAGCGATTTGGTGTATACATTTTTCCATCCTTTATTACGAGATCAACAAAATGCAGATATTCATTTACGTAAAGTAAAAGGTATATATATATATATATATACATATATAATCATTAATGTCCATGCGTATTCTAATACGTATGTATTATTTGATTTAGAATTTGTAATAATGAATTTAATAAATTTAAATTAATATACTTTTCCCAGTTGGTAATTGGTGGGCAGAGAAAAAAATCAGAGAGAACGTGCAATGTGGACAAATAAAATTATCACTTCATTATACCCGTGGGACTTTATCAGTAATGGTTTATCATGCTAGAGGTTTGCCAAAAGTAGCAAATGGTCAGGAGCCAAATACTTACGTGAAAGTATATCTCAAGCCCGATCCTACAAAAGCCACAAAACGTAAAACTAAAGTTGTTAAAAAGAGTTGTTATCCTTCATTTATGGAAATGGTAAATTACACGTAATAACATTAATTTAAATAATATGCAATTGTTAATGTTTTTTTCTTCTTTTTTTTTTTTTTTTTTTTTTTTTTTTTGTTTTTAAATGTTCTTCTGTTTTAGCTCGAATACCGAATGCCACTTGATGTAATTAAGGAAAGAGCTTTGGAAGCTACAATTTGGAATCACGATACTTTACAAGAAAATGAATTTCTTGGTGGTATTCGATTACCACTCGGTCGATTGATTTTGACAAACGAAATAATCGAATGGTTTTCGTTGGGTAGTGTTCGATAAAAAGGAAAATAGAAAGACTGTGTTAATAATATTAATGCTCATAACTATTAGAATAATAGAAAATGCTATATCTTATATCGCACAAAGAGAAGGCATTGCTTTTAAAAATATTCTGCTATCGTAACTAAGGGATTAAGGATGACTAATGTTTTAATCAAAATATTTATATCGGCGTGGTATAATAGAAGCTCATTTTCGTTTGTCACTATATATTCCAAAATTTTTATTGAAATTAATATGAAGTATAAAACGTGCAGCATATTTCATAAAATTATTCAATTTTTACAAAAATTATTTAAAATTTCATAATTATTGAAATGAATGTTTAAAAACTAGTATTTATAAATGGATTTTATAATTGAATTTGTAAAGATTAGATATATTAAGAAGAAAAGCCCGCTTAGATGTTTAAACTATTATCAAAGGAATGATGGATCTGCATTTATACGATGCTGTTTCAGATGAATTATACACAGATATTTATTTAACATGTTTTTTACTAATCAATAGTTATCCTTCTAATTGTACATAAATATAATTGAATAATGTAATCTACACAGCGAATCATTAAAGGTAATATTTTTACATGGCTGTCATGTGTGTTGAAAGTATACGCATATTCATATTTTTCATTGCTGCAAACATGCACACTCATACACACAAAACCGCATAACATTTTCTGTAGAACATTCAGTTCATATATAAGATAACATATTTTTATTTTCATATTTTAACATTAAAACAAAATTAAATCATTGACCTATGTCATAAGAGTAAATTAACGATGAGATATAAGTTATATTCGTAAATTTTCTTAATATTATTTTTTCTCTGAGTGAAGGAGGAACAAAATTATGTAAATATGCTATCGAATTTGTGTAATAAATTATCATTTCTTATTACATATATAAAGAAAAAAAAAAAAAAAGAAAAAAGTAATAATACGATTATCTGTAATATGTACGTGACGACGTTTTGGAATGAGCAAATATAAGTTAATAGACTAAACGAAAGATTAAAATACGGCAAGTATATGACTGTCAGATTTAATGATAATCATGTTCCTACAGAGATGTTAGTTCTTCGGTCTAATTGAAAGAATTTATACTATTTCGTATGTTTTCACACGAAAATATTTTTCACATATCATATATTTTAATAAGTGACAATTAATACTTTTAACATGTGTTTAGATTATTGTAAAGTAAGTTATTCAGGTGTCCTAATGAATGTTATTTCAATGATATCAATCGTGTTTTACTGGCATGCTCTCATCATCCTTTAGTTGCAGATTCGCTTAGCATTATCTTCTACTTTCTTATATTCTTATATGTAATTTTCACTTTGTTTAAGTAATATAAATGTGAAATATAAATTTTATATATATATATATATATATATATATATATATATACACTATATATATATATATATATATACACTTATACTAAATAAATACTTTCCTTCTTTCGAAAAGATTAATTTTTATATATTATAAAATATAAATACAAAATGTATTTAAAAAATGTTATTTTCTTTTAGTTTTACTGGTAACATTTCGCAGCTTATATGTTATAAAATAATGAGTAAATAATTATATATTTTATGACATAAAGTAGTATAAAATGCAATCAATTTAATTAACTTTTAACTTTTTTACTTTCGGATAAAAATCTAATGACAAATTCTTTTACTGTTATAAAATAAAATGCCAATAGAATATACTTTATGGAAATGATATTGTAAAAATTATATCATAAAAGTAATGTTTTATTCGTTTGCAAAATTTTGACCATATTCGTAATTGAAATTCGTAGTTAAAATTCGGATAATTGAATAAACAAAAAAGGAATAATAATTGAATAGACAATTGATAAATAGTTAGACAGATAAAAAAATGGATAATTATTTATTTTTGTAAAAATTTCTAACTTTTTTTTTTTTTTCAATACAATATATTTTTATGTAAGATAATACAAATAATAGTTGAGACGTCAAGAATATTTATTATTTTTATTATTGCAGCATTTGAAGGAACGGAAGAACAGCTTCCATTTTTAAAATCAATGGTTTCACTTTTTCTTTTTTTATTTTTTTTTACCTTCCTCCCCCCCTCCCTCTTCCTTTCATTGTTCATTTTTGTTACGAATATCCTACCACAATGCGAGAATTAGTTTTGTTTGAAAATGTAAGAACCGGTTGGTTGTCCGAAGGACCAACCCAAACTACGCTTGTTACAGCCCCTTGCTACGCTCAGGACAGCCCCATCACGAATTTTCTCATGTTAGCGATATGAAAAGGTTCAGGTAAATAACTTTAACATTTGTTAATATCTTTACTGACAGAATTAAGCTTTTCTACAGAATCGGTAACCTGGACTTACACAGACACAACCTTTTTTCTAATTTTAAGCATGACTAATTTAAAACATTTTGAAAAATTCGGAGAAAATTTGTTAAATGTTAAATACCAAATATAATAAATAATAAGATTTCACAAATTTTCTACTATGAAAATTTATGAAATCTTATTATTCATGGTATTTTATAAAATATGATATATAATAAAATATTTCTAAAATAAAAATACTGAAGTAACAATACTGAATGCTATTAACAGAATATAAAAATATTATTGAATGCTACTAAAACAATAAAAAAATATTACTGAGTGCTAGTAAAAAAATATAAAAATACTATTGAATGCTATTGCTAAAAAACATTTTATTTTTTGCTTACGTTACACATTCTATATAAAAATATAGAATGTTTTTAAGACGTCTCTTATATCGAACTTTTTAAGCCTGAATTTTGTTTCTCTTTTTTCCCTTTCAATATGTATTACAAAGAAAAAATATTTCTTGATCGCGTTTTTAGAACGATCGCATTTTTTATAATTTCGCTTTGCGAAAATATAAAAAAATGAAAAAAAAATTGAAAAAAAAAAGAGAAAACAACAGAGTGATACTTCACACATTGATGCAAAGAATTATCGGAATGTCTCACTCATTATTGATGATGCAATACAGGTTACTTTAGCTGTTACCTGCTTAATACCTTCGAAATAAGCGACAGAGTATTCTTCGTTATCTTCCTATCCATTTTTTGCCGTTACCTTTATCACATTCTGTGCCATTGTTGTCTTTGTTGAAAAAGAAATTGAAGAAACCTTACGAGTTTTCCTTTTTTTTTTTTAACCACTTCGAAGACACCGAACTTCTTCTGTTTGAAACGTCATAAAATTGTCAAAACTTTATTTACCGATAAGATCGAAAAATGGGCTGTAACCATTTCAAGGATCTTACAAATGGTCATACAACAAAGTAAATATCCTTTAAAAGGAAATTAAGTAAGAAGGAGTGTATTTACATACAACGTATATACAATGTACTTCAATACAATGAATTTACTTGTAATGTATTTTCATGTAAAGAACTTACATACAATGTGCTTTCATACATAGTATTTACATACAAATGTGCTTCCACTGTCGTACGTACGTTCATGAAATATTTCTTTAAAGGATCCGTATAATTTTTTATTAACAGTACTTTCAACAGTACTTTCTCTGACATTTTCAAAAGCTTTTTCTTTTGTATACCTTTCGGAAGGATCACTTTATCCTTGTAAGGAGTACATACTTTCCCTTATTTTTCTTTTTAAAACATTTCTCTCCCTTTTTTTATCTACTCTGTAAACAATGGAACAATGACGTTACAGTCGGCACGAACGGTAGGACTTATCGAGAAGAGAGAGAAAGAGAGAGAGAGAGAGAGAGAGAGAGGGAGAGGGAGAGAGGGAGAGGGAGAGAGGAGAGTAATTTTTTTAATAAAAAGAGTATTCCATTCTAATCAATTTATTTATTTTTTCTAATCACGTCTTTTTTCTTTTTTTTTCTTTTCTTTTTTTTTTTTTTTTTTTTTTTTTTTTCATTAGGCTGAACGAATTATCTCTAATCGAAATGCATCAGTTTAAAATAAAAAAGTGTCTCTAGCTATGCGTCAATATTTTTTTCTCTAATTTCAAATTAAATAAGCTAAAAGACATAGCTTTGTTTTATTATCTATTATTTCATTGTGACAATGTTTATGAATGTGTAAATCATACATTTATTTTCGAATAGTTAATTCCAAAATTCTTTGATTATAATTATATTAAATAACAAAGAAAATGATGATCGAATTTCTAACTTTTTTTTTTTTTTATTGAGGTCAATTGTTTATTGATAATCATGTTACTTTCAACGAACATAGAGAGATATATTCATTCGTAATAATTGCTAATGATGACTTAATATATTACGTTATTAAAACAGAAGATATAGGATCATAAATAATTGACGCCGAAATTCACTGTAATTCACACCTTTGGCCACCGTTTATGAGTTTAGTACTCAAATATTTTGTGAAAATACAATTATATTTATCGATTTATACCTGTAACCGAAGTTTGATTTATCCATTCATATACGTATACAAAGTTTCTTTTTTTTCTGACTGACGAATGCTCGCTCTAGTAAAGTTTTATATGATGATGATTATATCAAACTAAGAGCAAATATTACGAACATTATCTGTAAGAGAGTATAAATGTACCTACTCGACGAGCTTATCACCAAATACGTGTTGTCGTACATCAACAATGAAGATTTAGTAGATCTTCATTTTTGATTATGATGCTACTATTTATATTTAAACATTTATATTTAATAAATAATATTTAAAATTAACGATATAAAATATGAAACGATAATTTACAAATGATCATTGAAATAAATATCTTTTACGATTTTATCTTTCACAAATATAAATATTAATTTATTGATCAAGTTTCAATAATGATCGATCTATTTTGACATCACATTGCAAAGAGCTTTAAATTTGAAATTTAATAGTTATGCGAGGCGATTAAATACACTAACTTGAATGCGTTATAACATCGCGTTAAGTCATGGTATGGTTGGTAGATGGGGCCTATGAAGGCAAAGGGCTTTTAGGTACTAATTTTATGTAAAGTTATGAGACGTTGCGGTGCCCCGATGTGCTATCACGTCTTCCCGCAGGTGCAATAATCACAAGGTTTGCAATTCGCAGTCGCAAGCCCGCAGTATAACTAAATGTTCTGTGAGGAATTTCGAATCGTCCTCGAGACTTTAGCAAAAACGAAATCTACTTTATTGCAGAACATCGCGTTAGAGTTTTTTTTTCTTTTACTTTCTTATTTTCTTTCTTTCTCGTGTAGATATCGCGAGTAAACAAGATTCAATGTATCAAGAAAGAATACCGGAGCGTTGTCAGATACAAATAACCTGGTATACTTTTTTCCCCATTTCTTTTTTATCTTTTCTTTTTCTTTTTTGTTTTTTCTTTTTCTTTTTCTTTTTTATAATCACGCTGTACAACTTTTGATCTTTCCCGACTCTTTTATCGTACAAAATTAATAATACTCGAATAATATATTCCAAAAAGATCCGAATCTGAATTTCTACTTTAATTTCGAAATAGGTAGATATTTATTTTAAAAAAGTAAGAGAGAGAGAGAGAGAGAGAGAGAGAGAGGGTGGGAGGGAGGGAGGGAGAAAGGGTGAAAGGCGCATAAATGCTGCGATGCAACGTTGAAAGTACGCACGAGCATTTCTCTCGGGGCGAAGTGTTTATAGCGTCATAAAAAAATAAAATAGAAAACATTTTTACGAGCTGATCATTAAAGCCGACTCGAAGCGAAGCAACGAAGATGTCCGCCAATTAATGTTTGCTTCAGCCACGTTCGACTTATAAGTCATGAAACGTTCGCGAAAGAAGACAAAAGAATACGGCGGAGTCGCGAGCCGCTATCAGATAGATTTTATTTTTCTTTCCTCATCTTTTTTATATCAATTCGTAGCGAGAGAAATTCAGAGGTGTAAGGAATGATAAAAATCCCGTAAAATTGGCATTAACAAAAAACATAGTAGTAACAAAAAAGATAGTAAAAAAATCGATTACTCCGACGATGATAATGTATTCGCAATTTAAAATTCATTATGAAACGTTAAAGTCTACACATTGTTAATGTTTAGAATTAGAATTATCCTTTCTTTTATAAGATAACAGATAGATTCTTCGAGAGTCGATGAAAATTGTACGATCAGTAAAGTATATTCTCAATTACGAAGTTCGTAAACCAGTATTTCACCTGATGAGCATATAATAATTCGATGCTTTATTGTCCATAGATGACGGATGTTATTTTTATGGCGGTCAATAAATTCTTAGTTTATTTATATGAGAGATATTCTTCTAACATTAGACGACGCTGTTCTGAAATCTTTTTCCATTTTTATTTTTTCTTCCTTTTTAATTGGTAATCAATTTTTTAAACGTTACGATTGAGAGATTGTTTTAGATCGATTGGTTATAATTGATTATATATTATATGATAAGTTTCTTCTTTATCAATTAAATCCATACTAATATTAGTCATGAAGACAAAATCGTAAAAAAAAAAGTAATTATTTTTTCTCCATTTTTCTTTTTTTTCTTTTTTTTTTTTTTTTTTAACGATCATCGAAAAATATTATTTATAATAATTCATCAGAAGTATGGTTTACTCGTCACTTTCTAATTTGTTTTGTATAGTGAATGATTTAAAAATGAGTAAATATACAAATGTTAAATTAGAAAATTATTTGTCAGTTCAAATAGCTTTTTTTTCTAATTACTCACTCGTTTTATAATATTTGTCATATTACTTCACTTAAAACTACAGGTGATAGAGTATTTATTTCCTCATTAATGCGTTTTAATTCATTCATAGTTATTCTTGATTATCTAAACCTAATAATTAATGATGAAGTATATACTGTAAACGGGGTATTGTTAAAATCATGATCGGAATTGTGTCCAAGTTGATGTAATCGAACAATTGCTTCTAAAGTAAATTTCTGCTATTCTCGCATGCTGATAAGATTATATATAAGTATTTATTATAATCCATTTGGATTAAACTTTATTTTTGGAAAACGAAAACTACAAGAATTTGTAAAAATCCAAAATATACGATGTTTTGAAATTACTTATGTAAAAAGGAGCTTCATGAAAGATAAGTAAACATGAAAGGAATTAGGCATGACATTATAAAAGATACAATAATAAAAGATACAATAAAATTATCCTATACGGATGTAAAATGTTTAAGGATAAAAAAAAAAAGAGAAAGATTAGAAAGATTACGGACTGTATGTACTTTTAAAGAGCATAACACGCTATGTTTCAGCTCGACGGAAAGATAGTTCTTTGCTAATTGTTTTATTAGGAATGATTATACCATAGTTAAGTCCAAAATATTTTTCAACAAGTATGTAATAACTTGTATTGTTTCTGTTAAAATCTGTGGTCAATGATGTAAATGAAGTTTACTAGATATCTCAATACTAAATATCTATCAAATACTAAATATCTCAATAAAATCTCAATAATGTTTATATACTTATATTATATATATATATATATATACTTCCGATATTGTTTAATACAATATTGGAATATAAAAATTTTATGAAGCGAAAACATGATTGCCGAGAATATGCTATGATAAGTGCTATGATCAAATAAAACCGCGTAGGCATAAGCAAAAGTTATAATTTATTACTATCGAATTTAAATTATCGTATAAGCAGTATTAAAACGTGAACATGGATGGTATGTTTAATGATTAAAGTGCAAAAACGACTTTGATTTTTTTTTCTATTTAATCTAAACATTTTGACATGATTTAGCGTTATATTTGCGACAATTTGTATTTTTATAGTGTGTATATTATTTATAGATAATCTCAATAAGTTTGTGATATCGTTTTGAAAATAGTCAATCAAAATGATCATGTGGATTTTTCTTCTATTTTACTAATTTTTTTTCTTTCTTTGTCCGAGATCAAATTTGTCACTTGCGAAGAAAATTTGTCATCGCATTGTCAAATGCTACAAATATTTTTTCATCTTCGAAAGTCATAAATAGAATAAATAATCGAAAGTCATAAATAAAGTAAATAATTTAACATCACTACTGTCAACCTTGAATAGTAAGGAAGCTTGTATAGCTTTTAAAGGAACTATAAAACAATTTTACTCTTTTCTTTTGTTCTTGTCCTCATGGTGTCTTCTTTGATAAAATAAAGCGACAATATGGTCAGTCAGTATTCACAATAGGCACATTCCTGTCCTTTTTTTTTTTTATTATATACCGTAATCATATAATAATCATTTGGAATGATCCTTGTATAAATAATAATAAAGTTATATATAATAATGAAAGAAATATTACTATGATAAATAAGAAATGTTTCTTTCTTATTATAATGATTTAATGTAAAACGAATAACTTTTTTTCTTCCTATCTTTTTTCTTTTCTTTTTTTTTCAACATACTTTTGACGCATAAAACGCAACATATTTTACATACTAATATAAAATTAAATTTCACATACAAATATTTATTGGGAAGATTTTTCTTTTGTTTTTTCTAACGAATCTAACGATAATTAACGAAACCAAAGGCATGAAGAAAGATTAATTATGATGTTACTGCTTGATTATCGTTCTTTACTTAATTAAAACGACTCGTTGATAATCAGAGATATCACGCATGAGCAGACGTGATTGGAGAGGATAGGGGATAAAGTTTGGTCCGGATGGAAGGAGAACGAAACGTGCGAGAGAAAAGGAATTCGAAGAGGAGTAAGGGGATAAAAAGAAAGAAAAAGAAAGAGAGAGAGAGAGAGAGAGAGAGAGAGGGTATAGAGACAACCGTAGGCGGAGCGTTTCGAAGCGGCAGGCAAAATGGGCTTAAGGGACTGCCAGTTGTGGCTGCAAAAGAGTCAATATTGTGACACAAGACATTGTCGTTGGTTTCGTCAGCTGCCATTATGCCGAAAGATTATTTGCTGCTTCTACAACCTATGCAATAGACTTTTCACATCGTAACATTTTGCCATTGCCGTGATTCCATATCGATACTATCGCATATACGTCATTTCTGAATATCATTCCTGTCAACCTATTTTTCCATGGATAAGATTCAACAGATAAAAGATAAGATGAAATGAATATAGATCGTTTTGGAATATTCCTTTTTTTTTTTTCGACGATTAATAGTTGATCATCGGGATAATTGGATTTAAAATTGATCTATTCGATTTACGTTAATTCGTGATAATTAATAAAGGTGATAATTAACAAATGTTTAAGTTTCAAATGAATCCAATCTTTATATGTGATTTTTATCAAATAAAATATGTTTTAAATTTAAGATATTTATATCTAATTTATTAATTATGGTATTACGATTTAATAAATTGAAGAAATAATCCAAGGTGTGTAGACTGTATATAATAGTAAATTCTATAAACAATGATTATCGATCTTATTCATATCTAAAATAAGCAAAGAATTTATGACCGTAAATTTTATTCCGAATGTTTATGAACTATATCATCATAATTTATATTAGAGGTACCGGATTAGGTATTTCAAATCAATTAGATATTTCAAAGTTGAGCGCACATATAAATTCAATTTTTTTTTCATCGATTATATATTATCCATGATTCAAATGTCAGAGATTTAAGTCGAATATAATAAAAACTTTTAAATAGCGTAAATAATTAATTAACATCTTAAAGTCAAGTTATAATACATTATGTCGATTATTTTTCTTCGTTAGTTAAACATTAACAAACGTGTTATCTTATAAAAATCCGATTAAAAAAAGGAAAATTCTAGAATATGTTGCTATTTTATTTTGCGCAATATTTTGCCTTTAGTCTATTAATGCTATTGATTTCTTATAATAATAAAAAATTTATTATAATCATTTGATGGGTAATAAGATAATGATAGTTAAATATTATAAAAACAAATATATAAAAATTAAAACAGTCTAGAACCAAAATATACGATTGAAGTGAATGAATATAAAATTAAAATTTAGATCAATAGTTTAAATTGAGTTGGTTGTCGAATTAAAAAAAAAAAAAAAAAAAAGAAAACAAAAAAAAAAAAAAAGAAAAAAAACCGAAAAATAAAAGAAAAGTAGATAAATATCCAGCGATTTGTTGATTTTGTTAAAAAATATTGATTCTAACAAGTAGAGAAATTGTTTTGAAGTAAGAGAAGAAACGTCGCAATCGTCAACAATGCGTGGTGGTGGTAGTGATAGTGGTGGCAGAGGCGTGGGAGCCGCCTGGCAAGTCTCTTTATCGTACGGCCGTCGGGACGTCCATTAGGCGCCATTTCGGTTGGTCGACAGGCAGAGAGAAATCGGATTGGTTGATTCAAAGTGGTGGGGATCGAGCGTCGTGTAGGCGGCATCCTTTATAAAACGGTCGCACCCTTCTTTCTTACAGATGAGTCGATCCAGTCCTCAGTAAAACATCACTTATAACCGTGAAACATCATTGACAATATCGTTTATAGTCACTCGTCTATCATTTATCGTTTACTCATTTGTCATTCGTTATTGTCCATTATTTTTCTCGGTAGTTATCATAAACGTTTCCTTGTTTCCATTGCTAATTATTTAAAATAAAATAAAAATCGTTCATTAATGAGTTCCAATATTTGTGAATAAAAATTTGAAAATACTTATAGTGTGTGTCAACGGTGAAAGTTTCTTGTTGTAGATCATCCAGAAAATGTTATAATAAACTATTTAATTTTGTGATATATATTTTTGTTAAATATGCAAATAATCATCGCGAAGATATAGGAAAAAAGAAAAAGATTGTCAAATTATTCAGTGTTTCTAAGAAAGAGCAACAACAAGTTACTTGGACAAAATAACGATTTGATCAGTGATTTCAATATTTTCATCTTTGTTAGGAAATCTTTTGATTGTTATTAAAATATCATAATAATGACTGATTTCACTGGTATCGGCATGGTTCCATATTACAATCATATCGTCTACCGTCAGCAACAACAATATCCGCCACAACAGGGATATTCTCAGCAAATGCAGCAGCATACACCCACGCAACAAGTACAACAACATGCAGTTGCGGCTGCAGCAGCGGCCGCAGTAGCTGTAACAGATTCCGCACAACAATATTGGTATACAGGTTACAGTCATGGACATGCCCAACCGACGACTCACCATCATCACCAAAATACCGGATCACCACAATATTTCGAACACACGGATGTTTTCACGGGTTGGCCGGCTCATCATCACACACATCATTACAGTCCACATTACCAATACCAGCATCATACAACTTATCAGCAACCACAGGTGCAGCAACAACTACAACAACCATTACAGCAGCAGATTCACTACCATCATCATCAAGTTCCACTACAGAGATCACCGATGATTCAGCAACTTCCGCCTCAAAGATCACCAATTCAGCAGCAAGAACAAATGACTCAAACAGGTATCAATTCTTGGACCGGTCCGCTGAGTCCACCTACTACCGTTAGCGGTAGCGAAATCAGCAGCCCTGGTGCGCAATCTGTTTCACTAGAGAACAATAATAACTACTGTTATCAAAATGGTACAAACAGCGTAAATAGCGCAAACAGCGTAAATAGCGCAAACAGCGTAAACAGCGCAAATAGCGCAAATAGCGTAAACAGCGCAAACAGCGCAAATAGCGTAAACAGCGCAAATAGCGCAAACAGCGTAAACAGCGCTAATAGCGCTAACAGTGTAAACAGCACACAAAGCACAAACAGTAATAAGGAGAATAACTCAAAACCGGGATTAAACAGGAGTCCGTTCGAGTGGATGAGAAAACTGTCGTATCAAAGTCAACCGAACCCAGGTTCGTGTTACTTTTTTTCTTTGTACATCTCTCATCTTTTCCTAATTCATCATCTCTTAATCCTTCATTTCGAAAAATTGTTCACTTTGTTAACTGGAGTATAAGTCGAATTCAAAGTAGATTCTTTGTCCGAACAAACTTTCTTCAAAGAATTCATTGACAAATATAATCGACATCATACATGATCGATGACGGTAATTGAAATGAAATACTTTTTATTACTACCGATAAGCAGATATATTAAATTAAGGGATTACAAATTAAAAGATTAAAATTTTTCGAATATTATCGATATTTCTATTTAAATATATCGTTAAGTTTATTCTACCGGTCTAATATTTATTTATCTCGGTGACATTATAAATGTAAATAATACGCTTTCGAGAGATAATAATTTGAAAGTTCAAAATGTATTTCAATTTCTACCAAATTTCTTATTCCAATGTCCCTCGTAACTTATTATTCGTGTTGCTTTTCTCGTGCTGCTTTTTGTTTGTTTTTTTATCTTATCTCACGTTTCGATATCGCCTAAAGAAACGAAGATCGAACCAATCCGGAGATTATAATTTGCCAAGGATGAAATAGTAATCACAATAGGTATAATGATAATTCGGGTTAGTTTATGTTTTACAAGAAAGTAAAAACACAGTAAGAGAAATGTGTTTGTAAAGTTTGCAACAGGTGCAATTTTTTCTATAATTAAGGGATTTAGGAAAAAAGAGAGAGAAGACCTCGATCATATCACGTATATACGTACGATTATAAATACATCTGGGCGGACTAGATACGGGAAACAATGTAAATACGGTAACAGACGGGCAAACACCTAATTGTTTTCAAATATTTGTAAGATAATCTCTCTCGTCTCTCATAAAGCTCGATATTTTACTGGACCATACAGAAAGAAAGAAAGAGAGGGAGAGAGAGAGAGAGAGAGAGCCTCTTCCATTTTCAGTAAATGATCCTGAATCAACAAGCGTTGGCGAGGGAAAAAAAATCAATCCTTTAGAAATTTTTTCTTATCAACTTTAAACGGAGAAATTTCCGCGAGTTATGATCGATCGGATAACTTTTGAAAATTCATCTGTAAATAATTTTTCAAGGTTATATAGTAACGTGTTAAACGCGAAGAAATACAACGTATGTATTGATTTATATCGAACGTATTTACGTCTTATGAGAAAGGTCGTACAACTAACATCGTGTTTCTTTTTTTTTTTTCTTTCTTTTTTCTCTTGATTCTTACAAATCCTCGTAATCTCGTGAGATTTAAAATAAATTTTACGAGATTTGTCCTAGTTCTGCGAGCTTGATCTTGTACTGTTGCAGTGTGTGACGTAGCCACAGCCTGCAACACGAGTCAGGCTACGACGCTTCACGAGTTCTGCATCCTCGACAGCACCGGTACGAAAATCTTATTAATAATTATCGTACCGTTTTCATTTCCTCCTTATTTCTATTATATTCGTTTTACGTTACTGAGAAAACGTTCTCTAATTCGATTTGAAATTAGATACGTTTTCGCGTTGCATGAGTCATTGAAAAAGTTTATGGCATGTTCGATAGATGAATTTTAATTTTTCTGATTAATTATCGATGTAATTGAGTTGTAATAATTATTTGCTCGAAGTGTGCACATACGCTTTGGCTTTTACGCATAGAAAAAGAAATGGAGAAAGAAAAGTAAATAGAAAGATAGAATTAAAATTTCTCAAAGCAAACAATTTTTTAAATTAAATTATATTTATGATATGAGATAATTATTTTTCTATAGAATTGATTGATTCGATTAAACCGTATTTTTTCTATATCACATCTAGTCAAATTTTAAATATATTCACAATAATATATAATAGTTATTAATTTCGATCTAAAGATTTTATTTATACGATGTCTGTTTTTACATTCATTTTCATTCCATAATCATGGTTTGAGTAATTATCTTCTTTTTTCTTGTTTTTTTTTTTTTTTGCGTACACGAAAATGCTTACCGTCTTGCAACTGAATCGTTCGCAATTATCTAGACCTTTTCTTTTCTATCTCGATCTCTTATTCTCCCTTTTATTTTCTTTTTCACTTTCTAGACCTGATCTTTTCTTTTTTGCTTCTTCGTTTCTGTCTTCGTTTTCTTAGACAGCATTATTTCATGACCGTGCGACCCTCCAATACCTTCCAACGGTTATTATCTGCATTTTATGGTTATATTGCAGGCGGCCGCTGCATCGTATAACATCGGATCGCACGATTCAAAACAGTATTACGATTTTCGTTCTTAAAACTTGTACGCTCGTATACCTGCCGATGCAGCAAATCATTTGTCCTCTACTTTCTACTTGGAAAAGCGGACGGGCAGATGAGCAGACAAGCAGACAAAAAGCATCGTTTTTTTTGTCCGCCGCGAATATTTCTTTTCTTTTTTTTTCTTCGGGTATATATATATATATATATATATATATATATATGTATGCGTGTGTGTGTGTGTGTGCTCTATCTTTGAGTCGAGTAGCGGCCACCATTTTGGTATCTCGCTGCAATCAAACATCGCGAACAGAGGAGACTACGAATGTTTTCCTTCGAATCGAGAGATCGTTAACCCTTTATGGAGGAGAGAAAACCGACGTTACAATAATATTTCTTCTTCTTTAACTACGATAGATGCTTGTACGTGTTGTTTTATTAAAGTAGGGACTCTGCGTATGCAAACACGTGCGAATTTATTACGCAACTCGTCGTTACAATAGGTTTTAAATCATTTATGATTTTGATTGTGACTGTTACGCGACGAGAATTTCTAAACATTTTTGTATCTGCGAATATCACTAGGTAACCGATTTTTCGTACTAAATATATTCTTTATTTTTATTACATTTATATACAAACAAATATATATACAAACATATATATATATGTTTGTATATATAAATTCATTAAAGCCGTCGGTCGTAAAATTAAACGTTACAACATCAAGCGTTGTATAAGATTGAAGGACGATTTAATTAACGTCATAAACTATTTGTCTATTTAGAGTCATTTTATATTAACTATTATATTAATATATTATCACGTCGTCCATTTTCGTTTTTAATGAATTTTATAATTGTTTAATTATTGCTATCAAAGCGAAGGTGGATCGAAAGATCAAATAGAATTTAAAGGATACCTGTTCTATAGTTCAAAGATCAATTTCCATGATATAAATATAGAAAACAATTTTTCAAGATAATTTCAAGATCAAATATCGTTTGATAAGAATTTATCAAGAATATAATCTCTAGAAGTTCTTTCATATTCTATCAAAAAATTTTTATTAATTGATTTAAGCACGTACAAGTAAATTACGTTCGATATATATCAATAGGGGGGAAAAAAGACGAAATAACAAAAATCGAAAGTGTTAATGAAAAGGCTAATTTTATTTATCCTTCCTTGACGATAGCGTTGTGTTTTAAATTTAATCTTCAATTAATTATATTTAATTATATATATATATTTATTTAATTATGTTTATTTAGTTATGTTTATCTTTAACAATGATTTCTTTTGCCGACAGTAAAAATTAATTTTTATTTATTTGGTAAATTCATTCTTTTTTTAACTTTTAATCGTTCGTTTTGTCCGAGGAATCTAACTTCTAATGCTTCTATTACATTTTTATTTTACTAACTTTTCACCGTCGGTCACGTTCAAGAGCTTTTTTAGATATCTTTCATTGATATCTCTCATTGATATCTGGATACAGATACAATGAATAGGTATCTTTCTCTATGTACATATACGAATTTGTATATACAAATATATACAAATAGTAAATAAATCCTGTAATCCGAATAAGACATTAATCATAATCTTTGAAATTCTATGATTAATAAATCATAATGAATTGAAGGAGAAATAGTTTCTAATACTTTTCTGACTTTCAAATTTATCTAAGTGAAGAGTAGAAAAGAAGGGACTTTTCTGACTTTTAAATTTATCTAAATGTAAAGGATAGAAAAGAAAAGAGATAATGTTCGCTTATTATTAACATGTTTCTGTATAGCTTTTGAAATTTAAAGTTATATTTCCATTATTTTGCTAGGTTTTAAGATTTTGAGTTCTTCGGTGAAAGCCATTATCGAAGTTGTCGACACTTCTTCGAGTTGGTTTTAAAAGAATTCTCTTTGAAGGGAAAAAGGGAATACGCTTAATTCTCTTTGGTCAATTATTATATATTTTTACATTGTTCTAAACGTTGCTGTTAATTTAATTATCAGAGAGATTTTCATATTGGTAATCATGATAATATGAAATTTATTTCGATTGACAATAAAATGGTAAAAGTTAGGATAAATTAATGAATCGCGTAAAATGAAAAATTAGGATGAACAATTTTTTAGGAGTATGAAATACTCTTACGAGCCAATAACGAGTTGGTAAGTTAACGAGTTAATCAAATATTATTAATTCGATAATTTTATAATTTTTATATGTGTAAAATTTCGATGGAATCTGAAATCAATAATTTTGTTCATTTTTAACATTAAAAAAGACGTTCATTTTATATATACAAATATAAAATGAACGTCATTTTGCAAATAATCTTTTAATTTATTGGGAATTTCAATCCTTTTATTCCGGCTATGGGTTTACAAGAAATGTGACTGTTATAAATTGAGTGCGCGCATTGCCGACGACTCAACACTGATGCATAAATTGATTATGACGTAGGATAGAATTTTTTATTCTCCAAACTTTACAATAAAGTTTATAACATTTACCTGATTATTTTCTCAAAATAATCGTAATAATTGTAATATATTTCTTCTTACTTTTATTCTATATTTTTAATTGCAAAGGGATAAAATTATAAAAAGAACACGGTATGGTAGATCATAGAATCAACATAACACTGAAGACAGTAATATTTCGATTTTCCTTTTCTTATCCTCATTAGTATAAATTTTCGAGTTTAATTATTTTTTGTTGCTGAATTATTCGCAAAAATTGCTGTTGTTTTTCTCATAAGATAATAAAACATAGGGATTGATGTCCACGTTTCTTTTTTTTTTTTTAAACTTCAGTACATTATAAATTTCATCGATATGAAAAGAAGAAAAACGTATTCGTAAAAATGGATACATGAGACATTACAATATCGATCTTAAATATTTCTAATAAAAAAATCGTTTCCCAGGCAAAAGACATCCGTGATTCAGGGTGTATCATGGTTCAAGTAAAAAACAAAAAAAAAATTATTTTGAATAAATAACGGGGGAAAAGAAATTATTTCCTTTGCTCGAATAAAAACTTCTCTAGAAGGATCACATAAATCCAAAAATGTTGAATATACTTCGTGAAACCACTTATCACATTTCACACGTTGAATCCAGTCGTCTTGTTTCGATGCACAGCTGCATAACTCTCTACACTCGACACATTCAGTATTATCTTCTTCAGTATTATCTCAAAACTTTCTTCGAATTCTTAGGTTAAGAAATATGAAATATTTTCATTCCAAGATGAATTTTCCGTAACATTTTTAAGTTTGTGCTTTAGTATCTAATCCTAGATTTTTTTTACTCGATCAGATGATCCACTTGTTTTTTTTTTTTAATAATACTATTTAAATACTATATTGATGCACTGTATTTAGAAGAAATCATTATGTTTTGATTAATCGTTATTAAATTATGATTTAAAGAAGAAGCAGAACGTTTTTGAGAATATTTAATTTCTTAATTGAAAATAATCAAAGAATATTATTCATAAGTTTTAATAATTGTCAGTTCTAACATTGAAAGTATTTGAAAATCGAATCGAATCTATAAAATATTTACAAGACCGAATCGTTTCAATACTTAATTGACAACAATATTTCATGTGAAGAAATGTGAAATAAAATATAATATAATATGTATATATACAGTTGACGTATATATATACACATACTGTAAAAGGATGTAGTAGTTTGTACTTATTTACCCTTTGAGGGTGTATTTATTTCTCCGTCGGAGCGAAAGGGTTAACACGTTCTTTGTCGCGTGGATCGTTTTCGGTACACAATGAATTTCATTTTCAGGCTAAATGATATTTTTGTCATTTACTGATAAAATGCAAGAAAACAATTATTGGTATTACTATTTTATACTCTATGATGATGTTTGCAATACTTGTTAAGCCATGCGCCGATAACGGGTACATACGGCGTAGTGATGAGTTGTCAGTTGCGCAATACAGTTTTCTTTCGTTACAAGCATTTACTTTGCAATTGGCTGGCTAAATATTTGCATTATCGTGAAAGAAAAAAAAAAACAATGACAGAAAGAAGATTAAATTATAAAAATATTTACTAGGGAAAGGTCATACAATAAGCATAATTAGTATATAAGCGTTGATTCGCCATAAAAGTTAATCGCTAGAGACATATATTTATTTGGTATAAGTCATGGAATTAATAAAGAAAATTAAAGAAAATTAAAAAGTAATTAAAAGTGGAAGAAAATAAAAAAAAAAATCAAGTTTTTCGTTATTTCTGTTTATTTTCAATATAAATTGAACTTATTTCTTTGTTATATATCGTGAATTTCATAATATTAATATTTAATCTACCAATGAATAAATTTTCAATTTACAAAAAGCAAAAGAATAGATAAGAATAAATTTTTACGGATTTTTTAAGCTTTATAATGCATACCTTTAATAATACACGTAGCTTGAAAATGAAATTTGCTTATAAATGATTTGGCAATGAACAGTGTTAAACTAAACATCTTCACATGTTCACATCTTACAAAAGTATTTTGTAAAATTGAAACGAAATTGGTTCGTTTATTTCGTTAATTTTTAATCTAAAATGATTTATAATTAAACGAGTGATAATTTAAACATTTTCAAGTAATTGGTTTAAAATTTCAAGCATAATAATTTCCACAATAGTAGAGACATTATATGTAAGATTTCATTATCTTTGAAGTAGCCAATATATTGATAAATAATAGTTAAAAGAAAGTTCACGTATAATGATATACCGACACAAATACTTAGATAAATACTTAGATTTATGATCATCATGATTTCTACAGAACTTCAAACAGAATTGAAAGATTCTATTCTTATTAACAATTATAACAAGACTAACGTTATATATGTTTCTCATAATAATGATTGCAAAAGGAATTCTTCTTGAGAAAAAATTATATCAACTTATTGCCAAAAATAATACATTTTAAATCTTATATTTCAGGTAATCTTATGTTTTATTTTCTATTTTGTTTTTTGTTTTTTTTTCTTTTTTGCTTTTTTTTCTTTAAGATTATACGAAAATTAGAAAAGTTGAAATTGTTCGACAAAAATATCAATACTCAAATTTATTATATTACTCAAGAAAAATAATATATATCAATATCTAATAATACAATTTATATTTCATATATGTATCATTTTAAATATGTAAAATAATCGAAATTAAAAAATCATCTTACATTATATAATAACGCACAATTGTATGTATTCTTTCTTTCGTTTAATCGCTTCCATTCATCGTCAATCCCGTCAATTCTAAAGTGTATAACGTTTCACAGGAACATTCCGCAAGATTATCGAAAAGAATCCTCTTGGTCCATAACTCTTGGGGCTATTTGAAACATATCTACTCGTATACAAATGTGAGATGGCACAATACGAGTAATTGTGATGCCACTGACGAATAGGACCCCGGCGAGATGCGTGAACGTTGGAGAGTTCCGCGAGGGGTTGAAGAGACACGGGGGTGGATTCAGTCTTGGCAGGGAAAGCAGGGCACGCGCTTTTGCCATTTCGTAGCTCGAAATGGAAGAGCAAATGCTATAATGGGGTGGCAACGGGTCCCACGAGCGTACTTTCTTCTCTCCCTCGACTGTCTCTCTGCGTTCTCTCTCTCTCTCTCTCTCTCTCTCTCTCTCTCTATTTCTCTCTTTCTCTTCTTCTATCTTCTTCTCTCTTATCACACGCAACACCAACACGTTTCAGTCATCTCGTCCACATTTCTCTCTCTCTCTTTCTCTCTCTTTCTTTCTCTTTCTCTCTCTTTCTCTCTCTTTCTCTTTCTTTCTCTCTTTCTCTTTTTCATGGATGCACTTCCAACCAGATATTTTTATCGCGATACAATTCGCCTTGATCTCCTTTCGATGATTTTTGATATTTAGAGTGAAAGATTATAAAATTCTTTATATATTCAAAGATCTACGAGAGGTACATGAATGATTACTTAAAATGATAGCTTATCGGTTGATGACAAATGGAAAATAATTAAAGTAATTATAACGTAGATATCGATATAAGATATTTTATTCTTTCTCCATTCCCCTCCTCCTCCTTCCCCCGACTGAAAAAAAAGGTGTAACTACGTTCTGAAAGATCTTTTAACGCGAAAAGTATGAAAAAAGAAAAAAAAAAAAAATGAAGAGGATCATAAAATTATGTCCGTGATTCTAAACGTACACCAGCCGGTAATCCACGAATAAACAAGCACGACGTTCTTGCGTATACGTTTTACAAACACAACCTTTAAAATTCTTCCATCCGAGACTTCTGGTATCAACGACCGGGATGTATCCTTATCATTGGTGTCTAGCACCGAATTTCATAATTTTTCCACGGCCGCGTTGCCGTAAATACGAGACAAAGAGTTAGTAAAAAGTGATACAGTTGTAAGGTAAAATGAGAAATAAATATTTCGTTCGAGGAATGAAATACTCTTTACAATTATGATGATATTCAGAACGATTCGATGATAGTGCGATTATGATTATGGTAGAATCGTCGACAACCTTGACAAGTCGATGGATAATCGTCACGGAGTGTTCAGATATCGAAAAGATGAAAAAGGCCGACGGTAATCCCTTACTGAGTCACGCAAACGCTCACACAGGACTATGTTGAAACGACACACTAGCTTCTCTCTCTGTCTCTGTCTGTCTGTCTGTCTGTCTGTTTCTCTGTCTGTCTGTTTCTCTGTCTGTCTGTCTGTCTGTCCGTCTCTCTCTCTCTCTCTCTCTCTCTCTCTCTCTCTCTCTTTCTTCTGCCCTTTCAAACAACCACATCCGTGTCATGCGAGTCTCCAGAGAGAAACCAAAAAAACGTTTTCGGATCTGAAAAGTTCAGGTGTTACATTTCGTGGAAATTGGACGGGTTTGTGGAAGTCGAATCTCATGAAACAACAAACTCCTTCTCGACTTCGTCCACGTTGACTCTTTTCTCTTTCTTTTTCGTCACTTCTTTGGTCGGGCGTTTGTATATAAAAATAAAAAGCTCGAAAGCTTTAGATGTAAAAAAAAAAAAAAAATAAAGAAAAGAAAAGAGGAAGAAAGAAGGAAACAAAAAGTGAAACGACGAATTCAAAGTGACACAGTTGTATGCTAACTCGGAAATTTTTTTCTTCTTTTCTTTTTTTTTTTTTCTTTCGTTTTCGATTACGATCTTTAAAGATAAAGTCTGTCTTTCGATAACGGTTTACGAATATTTTAGATATGTGTTTACGTGCATCATACCGAATGAAACCGAAGACGAATCGCGCTTTAAACGTCGTCAAATATTTACAGATTTTGAGAAGATGCGTAAACGTCAAAGGGAAGGATTTATCGTCTTGAGAATCATGATTTCAACGTCATTGCCGTCGGTTCAACGATAGTTAGATATATACTTACATACCCAGCTTTTTTATTTCTTTTCTTTTTTAAGTCCCCTTGCATTACGAGGAATTTCGTACGTTTGCCGTGATTCTGGATAGTAGAGCCATCATAGATATGAGATAGGAGCCTTGATGTACTTACGTTTCGATAACGATCTCTCGTAATCCCAATAGAGATTCGAAAACTTAAAGCCTAATATACTCTAAATGTATTTTCATTGGCTTAAATGGTATCTCACAAGGAGAGTATATCTGCTTAAAATTAATATAACATTAAAGACACAAATCCTTCGATATCATTTCATCATATCATAGCATGGACAAACTATAAAAAAAAAAAAAAAGAAAATAATAATAATAATAATAATAATCACCATAATAATAATCATAATAACAATAATCATAATAACAATAATCATAATAATAATAATGATGTTTATTCAATATTATTTAGAAGATGAATCATTACAGCTGATGTCATCATTTAATGTTATTCATCGTACAAAATAATACATTTTAATCTTTCAATAAAATCCTCTTTGGATTTTATTTTTTTTCTTTTTTTTTTAGCAAGAAATAGTGTGTCAGCCAGCCATACTGGATCCACCTATTTGAACGGTCAAAAAATCTAAGGTCGAAGCCTATTCGTGATGCTTCGAAGACCTCGAGTCCTCTTATCGAGGAGTGGTGGATTAACGTGCACGCCTTTGATCTCGCCGGCTAGCCTTATCTAATCGGTGTCTCTTTCCTCTCTGTTCCTCTTATATTCTCTTCTCTCTCTTTTCTTTTCTCTCCCTCTCTCTCCCTTTCTCTCTCTCTCTCTCTCTCTCTCTCTCTCTTTCTCTCAACCGGTCCTTCTATACCTAGCTGCTCTTACTATAGCACTCTCTTCTTCCATTCCGTATTCCATACGAATGTAATCGGTTCTCTTACTACGCCACGTCGCGTAAAGATATTCACACGTTGTACTCAATACCATAGTCGGCTTCCTTTTTCATTTTTCCTCTATCCTCTTTGATTTTATAGCCTATAAAGAATTTTCTCGTACAGTAAAAAAACTTGGTTTTTTTTTTCTTTTTTTCTTTCTTTTTTTTCGGTTATCGAACGAATAGGATAATTAATAGCTTGAGAATTAATTTTTATTTTTTTCTACTTTTTCTTTTTTTTTTTTTTTCTTTTTTTTCTCAGTATCAACATAAGTATCTGCAATGGATCCTTATCGCGCAGTTTAATAACGATAGTAATAGAGCGAAAGGGATAAAGAAGTTTTCACGATACTCGCGATAACGTTTCGTTATCTTCTAGCCAACGAATCTATTCTAAGAATATATGTACTCGTGGTTTTTCGTTATTTCAATGATTTCTTCTTTCGTTTATTTTTTTTTTTTTTATTATTATTAGACAAATTTGCTTTAATTTATAATATACTAATAATTATGATATAATATACTAATATACTAACAGTTTTTTATAATATTCTTTAATATTGTTTTCTGTAATGTACTTAGTTGTAAATAATTTGAATCGAGCAATGAAAATTGTCATTGACTTTAACGAACGATAATGAAGACGGAATAAAAGAAACATGAAATTCATCGACAATTATTTTATATTATATTTCTATCTTTTTTAGGAAAAACTCGGACCAAAGACAAATACAGAGTGGTTTATTCGGATCATCAAAGACTGGAACTCGAAAAGGAATTTCATTTTAATAGTTATATTACGATCCGACGTAAAACAGAACTTGCCAGCTCTCTTAATCTTTCTGAACGACAGGTAATTTTTGAGAATGATAATTTTTAATATAATAACTGTTTATCATTTGAAAAATATTATGATAGTTAAAGAAATCATCGAGGAAAACACATCAATAGTTTCAACAATAAATATCGAATAGGTGTCGATAATTTTATATCGTTCAACATCATTGATATAAATATATATATATATATATAAATTTTGTTAATTCAAAAGATCATTTCAAATGGACATTTTTTTCGATGTTAACAGGTCAAAATTTGGTTCCAAAACAGACGAGCGAAACAAAGAAAACAAATGAAGAAACGGGAAGAAATGGAACAAAAAATATTTAAAAATCCGGAAACACTTACTTTGGAAGAAAGAAAAGCGCGCGTGGAAGATAGGATCTGGTGGAGTTACTTGCAATAAAAATAGGAAAATAAATAGACACACTTTGCAACTATAATGTGTAAACTCTGTATATAGATAATATATAAGACATTAATATATGTAAGACTCTAATAATTAATTTATGACACGTGTAATTAGGATGTATCAGCAATAAGACACCATTTTAACGCTGAAACGCTCTCGCATTGGATTTAAAATTTTAAATTTTAACATACTGTTCTTAACCTTGGAATGCAAATAATTTGTTATTTATATAAAAAGTAAATTATTCACATTATTAGAATTAGCAATTTCCAATGATGTTCGGGACAATAATAAACAAATTCCAATGCTAAATTATTGTATATAAGTGCATAAGAAGAAGAAAGAGAATATAACGTGTAATAAATTATTAATTAAAGTCTTATACATTTAGTTGCCAAGTGTTGTAATGTAATGATTTGTGATTTTACTATAAAAAAAATTTTAAATCTAAAAGTGATACACTATATTTAATACCTTGAAAGAAAATTTTTCTTTCTTTCTTGTTAACTAAAAAATCTGATGCGTAATGCTTCGTGAAGCATTATTTGAAGTTTACTTATTAAACGCTTAAATAGACGAAAATTAATATTTTTTTAACACTATTTTTTTTTTTTTAACACACCTTTCCATTTATAATTCCGTATTATCTGAAATAAATATTTTCGAAAACGTTTCTCATTTACTTTTCAAATCCGTTCAACGATTTTGTTATATCATGCATAGATAAATAAAAACCTATAAGCGTGTGTAATGCGGAGTATTTGAAGTGCCAGTTCGGATGGCCGATGGCAATGAATGCCATGTATATCCAGACGCCACATGTACATGTAGATAAACGTATAAACGTAGAAAACATAGAAATCCACAAGAACGCACACTAAAAAGCGGTAAAGCTACGTAGGTGCCAACGAGTCCCGCGGGAGCCCTGAAGTTAACTACCAGATCGATGTCCGACCCCAGACCACTTCATCCCCTGAAACCAACCCCCCGGCACTTCGACGACCGTGATGCTGCGAACGAACCGACCAACCTCTCCACCCATCCATATCATCCTCCTCCTCTTCCTCCTTCTCCTCCTCCTGCTCCTCCTCCTTCAACTTTTTTTCCTCTCATACCTTCGTTCGACCTTAACTTTCCGTGACTATGTGCCACGCCGTTTCGGCTATGATTTTTATTTTTTTTTCCTTTCTTTTTGAAGATGACTTTGATCGTCGGATAAACAAGTATCTTCAAACTAATGAAAGAGGGAGGGAGAAAAAGAGAAAAAGGGGAGTTTAAGGGATAAAAAGACATACACATATATCGTGTGTAAATATTTTGCTTGAAAATTTCAATTTAAGGATATTAAAGATTATTGTAGGATTTAATAAAAAATAATAGATTTATATATAATGTTCAAAGTAATATCATTAGTTCTTAACAAACTCCATTGAAATTCGTTATCATCAATACGTGACTTTGTGGAATGAAGAAAATATTTTTTATTCACTATAATGCACTACAAAAGAAAATTCTTTTTCATGAGCTACTATTTCTATCCTTTTGGCATCTACCTTCGAAACAAGTAGGGATAAGAAAGAAGTGAAAAAAGGAGTATGGGTCAGTTTTTTTTAGAAGATGAAAAGAGGAAGGTTGGTCGGCAGTCAGGCGTAATTGGACCCCAGAACGTAACATCGTTTTACGTATACTGAGAAAAATTCCGTGAGGATACGCGGACGAGAGACCTTTTTGTTCGAGTTTCTCCGGGTTAGTCGGTCCAGTCGCAAACACCAAATAGATACTTTTATGAGGGTTATAAAGTTCCTGAATCGAGTATCGATGGTTCCAAAGGGGCTAATCTGCGGATGAAAACTGTAATAAAACGTCCTCTCGGTGATGTATTTCAAAATCCTTTTGCAGAGATTCTTTGGTGTCCTTTCTTTAGTCAGGTATCCTTCCTATCAGTGGAAATCTATTTTTATCGTTTCTATATGTGTTATATATTATTAACATTTTTTTTCCTTTTTTTTTTTTTTTTTTACATCCTAATGTTTAAACGTTTTATCCGTCTTTATAGTGACTTTGTTGGCTAGGACGATAAGATGAAGAAACTATGGTTTTTTTTTTTTTCTTAATTGTCTTGTAGATTATAATTATGCATAATTAATACTCTATACTTTATCAATTATTACGACTGTGAATATCAATGAAAAATCAAGAAAAAATTTTTAACCCTTAATGATAGGCAAAAATGAATGTAGGTAATGAAGATGTTCTTCATTACCTACATTCAAGTAAGGATGTTAAAAAAGATTCGGTGCTGACATCTACTGAATATAGAAGAAAATTAAATGAAACATCAAATTTTATACGACAGAATAAATTTATAAAAGATATGAAGATAAGGGTATATTGTGCTTATACAAAGTTTACAAATTCTATAAATTAATGTTAATCGAATTAATTATTTATTATTTATTTGTTACTTATCGAACTTGTAAAAAAATATTAAAAACAAATAATAAAGAACATTTATTTAAATATTTTAACACATTAGAAAATATAAATATATCCGATATTTTTTTTTTTTTATTTGTTAAACTTAGATCGTCAGACAAAGTAACTTTCACGCGATGAGATTTTTAGAATTGGCAATTCTATTGATGAACTAACACTTTTTAATAGACAAAATATTGTCCAACGAGTTACATTAATTGATAGATGTAACTTTTCCATTTTTCTTGAAAAAATTTCCAGAAGAATATAAAGATCGTCTCTTCACGGAAATTGATTGTAAATTTAATATGCTCTCGAATGATTTAACATCTATAAAATAAATATTTTTAATAATTATCTATGTAAATAAAAAAAAAAAAAAAAAACTATCACTTAAATGACGAAGAATAAATCGGATTAAATGAAATTAGTCTTGTTCCATAACAAATATTTGATAAATTTTATTCATTTCGCGTATCATTTGGTCCGATCAAAATCGCACCGTTCGATACATGCATTCCGTTCTTTCATCATATTTTCCTTATACGCAAGTGCATGATTTTATTTTAATTTCTATTATGTATGTCCATAAGTGTGCTATACGTTAGAAAATGTATATGTTAATACTTACGTAAAATTCGCACATAAGACATTTATCTTGAAAAAAAAAGAAGTAGGTCTTCGCGTCAAACTCTTAATAAGAGAATGCGCTTCTTTAAGGCACTATATATACATATATATATATATATATATGCCAGGAATATATGATTTAGCATGTATGAACATCGAAGGCGATTTGAATAGAATATACATATATAAAACAGGAAAAAATAAATGAAATTAATTAACGAAATCTTACAATTAATATTTCACCTATCTATTACAAAAGAACGCGATCGTTTTCGATCAATGATAAGTATAAAGTACGTGATCCTGCACAGAAAGATGATATTAACTTAAAATACGAAACGTATATTATCTTAAAAATAATTGGACGGCGGTATAATCCTTAAGTTTAATCGATCCAATCGATTAAACTTGATTAAAAAACAAGACTTCGCCTGTTTGTTACAATATCATTTTATAAAAAAAAAAAAAAAAACCACAAAATGAAACGTCGCAAAATATTTTCAATTAAAAGACAATTAAAATCCGAATAAATGCTTTGACAATGGCGAAATAATCTCGTTTATAAACTAACAAAAAAAAACAAAAAAAAAAGAAAATTAACATAAATTCTACGATTGTACTTCCTACAACGGCATGAAACATTCTAATTCGGAATTGAGAAAATTATATCGATACTTTTTGAAACACGAAACTGATTAGGACACTGAACGATTCTTTTTTATATGACTGATTTATAATTATTTTATGAGAATATTTAATATTACACCTGGTGGTATTTCTAAGTAACTTATGATATAGCAACATACTCATATGCTTATCTTATTAGAGCTATAATGTATCGATACGTTGCCAATCATAAGAGACATAAAAGATTTGTTACTTATAGACGAATTTACAAAATATGGCCTATTTTTAGGCGATATATTTAATATTCGCATAAATAATTATAACAAATTAATAAATAAATGGAACCGATTAATAATAATCTTTTAAATGTTAAAGACGAAATCATAATTATTCTTCTGTCATTTGATATTCTTTTGAATAAGTAAACGTCATTTTGAAATTTCAAATTCCACGTGTTGATTTTTATCAGATATGGCGATTGAACGAATAGATCCGATGATCTTTATTGAATATCGTTCAAGCGTTATTTTAATCAAGTCTTCGCTTGATTTTTTCCTAAGTAACCTATCGAAATTAACGGTTTTTAACCGTGTAATCGGCAGTAATTATTAATTCGCTCATTCTCACTTATAATTGTTAATACAAAACTCGTGAAGAATTTTCTTACAAAGACGAAAACTTCGTTTACGTCGATTCATACTTTCGATTAATATATCCAATTGACTGGAACCCATTGATGTTCAGTCGCCAAAGCGTCTAAAGCTGCGATTACTTGTCTAAAGGTTTGATCGAAATCTTCGTTGATGATCACAAGATCGATGTATTTTTCGTAGGCCCTTTGTAAAGCCGCCGATTCCTCCAAAGTCGATTTTAAATCGTCTTCCTGTTATCATTGAATATAATTTTTAATTTTATTTTCTATCGTAACACCGTAGAAAAGAAATTTTTATCAACTATTATAAATAGAAATGATTCGAAGATGATGCATCATGCAACACAAACCTCATATAAAGATGCAAGTGATTCTAGTGTTCTGGCCCTCCTCGAGCTGTACCTTATCGAACTCTGCCGGTCAAACTATTAAGCGAACATCAAATACATGTAAGGGATTAAATCAAATAGGATGATCAAGCTTAACAAATAGTTGCTAAAACTTTTTAAATAAAAGAAAAAAGAAAGAACAAAAAGGAGATTAACGACTTTACAACTAAATAAATGCAATTATTTCTATATGAAATAAGATTAAATACTTTGGGAAAATCTTGCTGCAGTATTGCATAGATACGTCTAATATACAAATAAGAGCCACCAATGATATCAATAATTAACTAAGACTTTTAATTATTTTTTTTCACTTTAAATGTTGTAAGGTAAACGCGTTGGCAACAAAATTCACATGCAATAAAAATAAACGTCATTGCACGAATCATGCATTTAATATAAATAATGTCTCTAAAGTTTTGTATAGGAGAGTTCATAGCAATGAAATCAAATTTTACGAGCACGTATTTTATCTTAAATTGAAAATAATAATTTTCATTTTGCAACATTTATAAAATGCAACGTCATCATGTATAGGATATGGACTACGATTCTACGACAAGGATAAAGATAATAATAATAATAATAATGATTGAAAAATAATTGGATAAATAATTCGATGTAATAAATACTGTTCTTAGCTTATAAAATATCAAGTTTCGTCTAATTGTATTCTTTATGAATTATAAATATTGTTTGGCTCGTATAAATACCGTCAGATTTCGACTGCTGGCTCCGGTAGACCTTCCAAGATCGTATAAACTTTTTAATTGCTCCATTCCTGGTGCTGCTATGAAGATAACATAAGGCATAAATTCTGTACTATTATGAAGGATCTTCAATGCTGCAGGGCTACAATCAAGGACACACATTTTTCCCGCTCTTATCAATTCCCGAACAGAGTCTAATTTTGTTCCGTATAAATGACCACCATGTTCACCATATTCCAAATACCGATGTTCTCTGATATCTCTTTCCATACTTTCTCTATCAGTAAACCAATAACTTTTTCCATCTTCTTCGAGAACTCTGGGAGGTCGAGATGTATCTAAAAATATAAAAATAATTAATATTTCTCATTTGAATTATTATTAATTTATCCCGTAATTATACGTAATATCATTTTGAGAAGATTTTAATGATACGATCAAGATCAATTAATTTTATCGTTTTAACAATATCTTTATAAATTTCAATATATAAATTGATTTATTTCATTCATGCATTATCTTATAATATAAGATAATTTAACTCATTGTTGATCGAAAATTTTACGCAAAGGCTATCTCATATCATCAGTGGTTATTATTTTAATAATTGAATATGAAAATGAAACAATCTAAATAAATTAAAATTATATTACATTTCTTTTTTACCATTTTAGTAGTCTAATATCAGATTCATAACTATCTTTCAATTCAACTAGCACTTTTCAAGTCACTAATAATTATTTCAAAATCACTCGAACAATCGGATAAATCATACGCGTATAATACATTGAAAAATTCTTCACCGTCACGTTCCGTCATTCTTGAAATTTTTCTAATACTAAAATTGTGATAAAAAACTAAATATCAAGAAAAGTATTTTTCTTTTTCTAATAATAAAGCGGACGGGATTAAACACAATAAACAAAGCTTTTGCAAATATTCTGTCATTGCTCTGGGTTTCATAAATTGAAATAGCTAATACAAGTGTAAACACGAATTAACTCGTGATTGATCAACAATGTGTTAATTATCAATGATGAATTGATTGATCTATAAATTCTTACATGGTACGATCGTGCCAAATTTTTCTCGATCACTATTTATTAGCCTGTTCTTCAGTGTTCGTCTACCAACACCACGTGGTCCAACCAATGCCAAAGTCTTACGTCTAAAAGGTGGCATCCTAGCAACTTCCTCATAAAGAAGCAATTCAGCACCGTCGAATTCCCCGTTGGATTTCGACTGATACATCTTCCTTTTTTTTTTCTTTGAGATTCTCGTCCCACAAATACTTATTTTGTGAACGAAATCTGCCTCAGGCGGAACGAAAGCCTTCCTCCGTTCTTCCAATTCCAAGGACGGTATAAGACCGGCTGAACTCAATCCGTCACCTTCGACTCTTCGTGCCTGCCACCAATTTGGATCGGCTTGGTCCACTATTTGTAAGACGTTACCTTTGTTAAAACGCAAACCTATTTCTTTACATGGTAAAAGAGTATCCTCTGATGGCTCATAATCGAACAGAGCTCTCATGTAACACTGCAAAAATAAAATCGTTTACTAATTACATGGTATTTATTATACGATTGGTTTTATTATTAATAATTATTATTAGTTTCGAAGAACTTAAATAATCATGAATATTAAAAAAAAAAAAAAAAACAAAGGATTTAGCAATGCCGTCGAAGTAATTCGTCAAAAACGATTCAATGATTATAAAAGTATTCCCGTTGTTAGAACTATCGTTAATTATCCTTGTTATGAGAACTTTGCGATAATTGGCGCAGAGATTATTTCCATTTTCATTGGAATCGAAGATATTACGTTGTTGAATGAGCGTAAAGAAAAAAAATATATATATATATATATATATATATATATATATATATTGTCTGAAGTTGTAATTGTTGAACCGATCAGTAGAGTGGAACAAATAACGTCATGCAATATGTTCGCTTACCGTGGACTTGAGCGGTCTACTGCCGTCATTAGCTATTCCAGGGGCCAATTTTAAAAAGAGATTCTCTTTAGCCTCGTGTATGGCCTGTTGCAATTCATCGGGATTGTGAACAGGCTTCCCGTTCACCTCCAAGATCACCTCGCCTATTCTTAAGAGTCTTTGTCTTGCTGCTGTGCTACCACCAAGGATCCTGGCTATTATCAAGTTGCCAGACTCGTCAACTTGCACTGTCAGACCCTGAAAGAATATCAAACTTTTACTCGACTTATATCGTTAAAATTATTTATCGAAGTTAAAATCAAATCGTTCCAGCTGTGAATCCATTAAATGAAACAAACTTAGAAAATCTGAAGACGACGAACGTAAAACTGATCATCTTTGATCATTTTCATTTAAATTGCGAATGAAAATTGTCTCTGAAAAATTGATACTTAAGAGAATTTTCTCGTTGCTTTCGCATACTTTGAGTTTCCTTTCTTTTTATTTCTCTTTTTTTCTTCTTTTTTTTTTTTGCTGTTCTTGGTAACGAAATTCCAGATACATGGGGGTATTAGAAAATCGAATTGCCGCTGACCACATGGCGCGAGATCGAACTAGCGAGAATAATAAACGTTTCTACTTATTTATGAACTGCATGTGGCATTTCCGTCTTTCCTTTCGACGAATCTAATTTTGAGAGAAGGAGAGAGAGAGATACTCGCCTGGCAAAGATTTTCAACGTTTCTCTTTCCATTTTCGAGAAAGAAGAAGATAAAGAGAGAAAGATATATGTTGATGCTTGTTTCAAGGAAAGAGAAATGATTCTCAATTCCAAGCTCTATTTTGAGAACTCTATACAAAATCGCATTTATGTATATATTTATATACGTTATAAAGCATCTAGATAAATCACTAATAGATTTTACATTAATTCTGTTTTATTTTTGGATCGGTTTATTTAAATAGATTTTATAGATTTCCCTGGAATTTTCATAACATTAATCACATTATTTTTGAAAGTGGCATAAAAGTCTGTTCCTCTATTGACTTTAATATTACATGTAATAAAAATAAAATATCAATTTCTGATTAAATCAAAGGAAATTTTTTTCTTTGTTTTTTTTTTTTTTTTTTTTTTTTTTTTTTTCTTTTAATATTAAACAAAGTTAAATAAAATTTTAAAACAAATTTTGTTCTTTTGAAACAAACAAACAAAAAAAATAACAGTTCATCTAGTTCATCTAGAAAAAGTATCAATTATTTACCAATGGTTCGTCGGGTTGTCTTGTAAGTCCAACGACTCTCATGACTTCCGTTCTCTCGTCGGAAGGCATAACTAAAGATGGAATTGGTTCTGAAATCGGTGAAGCTTCTCTACGTTCCACGACAGCGTCGTGAGTCTCTAAGAGCGCCTTCAAGTGGGAGTTTCTCAACAGAGCTACCAATTCACGGCCGTATTCGTTTCTATAGGATTGAAGCTCGTGGCAGACCTCGTCGACGATGTCACAGACAGAAGAGCATACCGGTTCTACAGGGACCGGGCCGTCTTCGAGACGTTCCTGGACCTGAAAGTTAGTCAGAAGTCACACCGGGATCCATTGAAAACAGGTTTTCGTTCGTATCTTATATTCCAGCTTTATTCACAGAGACAAGAGAGTCTTGCTGTTGAAGAACTTTCGATATCGATTGTGCTTAAGTAAATAACCCTTTAACCACGAAATATTTATAATTTTTTGATTCCTTGATAACGTTAAAAAAAAAAAAAAAAAAAGATTACAACATTATCATGGATATCAATGATCATTTAAAAACGAAACAAAAATATATACATATATAAAATCATTTTCTTCGAATCAACGTTATAATAATTGTTTTGATGCCCAAAGTAGCTTTGAATTCAAACTATTTTTCCAATATTAAGCTAAGCCCCGTGAGCTCACCTAATCATTCTTACCGGTTGTGAAAGTTAGAACGGGTTTCCAAAGCCATTACGGTATGGCGAGATGCTATGGTTATCTTTCGCCTTTGTATTTCCATGAGAATAAGAGAACTTTAATAATGATTATCGCGCAGCTGTATCAACGAATTTTTCTTTAATGAACTCACGTTATAGATAAAATGGCCTTTAGATAAAAGTCATTTATTATTCCTATATACGAAATGTCGATAATATAAGGACATTTTTCACTTGACACAGTTAATTAATAAGAAGAAGAAAAAAGAAAAAAATATTATTATATTTAAAATCCATGGAAAAAAAAGAACGTATCAAAAGAAGAACAAGGAAAGTGTTGTCAATGGGGGATTAATAGCATTAGGTTTATTAAATTCTAGAGTCAATGCCTCTATGGTTAGGTCCTGACTCGTGTTTAGAGTCAATACTGAGTCACAATAATTACGGATTAATTACGAAAGTGGGTCATTCTCATCGCTTCGAAAGTCACCTTTAAGAGGTAATTCATCGAGAACAATGCTTTATAATAATGCTAACGAATATTTTCTAATGAATAAATTTATCTGAAACGGCTTTTGATTTATTCTTTTTTTTCCTTTTTTTTTTTTTTTTTTTTCTTTTTTTTTGTATATAGAATTAAACGATTTGAAAACGATCAAATATCGTATGTGACACAAGAGTATTTTTAATTAAAAAGCTATTAAGAAAAAAAAATTTCAATTAGAAAGCTATTACAAATATACTCGAAACAAGGAACACAAGTAGAAACGCAAAAGAAATTAAACAATATTTACATGATTTACAATTAAGTTTGAAGAGAAATCGATTTATTCAGAGAAAAAGAGAGAGAGAGAGAGAGAGAGAGAGAGAAACGAGTTTGCATTAAAACGCATGGTGAATGCATCCACGATTAGTTTTGCAATTTGATATTCTGTCGTTTGTAAACAATTATTTCATTATTCTAGATTTAACACGGGGGCCAATTTTAAAATGTACGTCTGTTATATTTCGCACAACAGATTTTGCAAGTATATATTAAACATGTTACTCGGAGATCCATGATGACGATGACTCACCATTGAATCACGTTCATTCGCAATATATATATATGTTAGTACGTAGTACGTACTACTGCATTATATGAATGCTCCGAACGAATAAACGTTATGGTCATTTTTATCACGTTCTTTCATCATCGTACGTATTATGTATTCCCAAAGAGTTATTATTCTTTGTTTCGTTATCAATCGATTTTTAGTTATAGAAAGATAAACCGTGTCTAAAGATTTCAAAATCACTATATATACCTGTTATCGGTCATTTATTAGAAATTTCGACCCGTGCCGATCAAAGCATTTAAATTCTCGGCATAAATCAAATTGCGATTCACGTAATTCATCAATAGGATTTATTCGTGGTTGGAAAATAAACATTAATGTTGTTCCAACGCTTTGTCCGACGATCGAGGTAAACCGTATGCAAAGAAACGAAATGCGAGACATATGCGAGACATATGTTTGCTAGATTTGCCAATTTTAACGAGATCAAATTTATCCTTGGATTTGATTAATCGAGAATCGTTGGAATTTCTTCTTAAAAATAACAATAACATTTAGACGTTTAATTTGGTAGATATCATATCTTGTTTTCTATATCTTGATTGATTTATTAAATTTGCATTATTTACGTTGAAAGATATATACGTATATACATGTGTACATATATATTGTATACATGTATTTTTTATATAAAAAAAATAGCAATAGTATTCGATCGAACTTTGGAATGTTCATCTCTTATTCTCGTACATTGCCTTTCACCAACGTTCTTTCGTTATTTCCGAATCATTTGAAAATCCTCCTATGCTAATATTAAACGTACAATAAAGCACGTTCTAACATTTTGACCAAACATCATGCTCGACACAATGTATCTTGAATTCGTAAACTTTCTATGCACTTTAGCGATGCTCGTTTCATCGTAATCCATTTCGATGGAACTTTCTCATTCTATTCTCTGTTTACCAGTCATTACTAGACGTAGCCACGGAAATGATCTCGAAAATACAAACATATAATACGTACATACTTAAATCTCCCTATTTTATTGTATACTTTATCGTATACAATAAAACTGATATATCATATGTGATATTTATCCTGTAATTTTGCGTTAATGATTTTCTCTTAATATCTTAAATTCAACGAGTCCAATAATGATCGCTTTGAGAATACCGGACGCGCTCACCTGAGTAAAAGGAAACAAATAACGTGAATATCCTGTGAAGCTTCTTTTAATCTCGCTTCTTCGTTGAACTGGACGTAGTTCGTTGAAACGAGTCAGTGGCCTCGATGAAGAGCAACGTACAACGTTGATATTGATCGCCGTAGTTTTTGTAGATAGAACGTGTAACGTCACGATAGAGAGAATATATATATATATATATACTCGTAGAAGTACACTGTTTTAACGCACCAGGGGGCAAAGGTCTCCTTTCGTTTTGATTAAAAAAAAAATAAAAAAAAAAAAAAGCTTTTCGAACAAGAAAGGAAGAACGAAAGAAAGAAAGAATGAAAGAAAGAAAGAAAAGAATGTGTCGTAAAAGAGGTGTACGCTGAGGTAGCAGCGTCTGAAAACTGCCGCGCCTACTACTGACGTTTTTCCCCTCCGCATAGGCAGCCCGTTCAGTCCGTTCGACTTTCTGAAACAGGTGGGGGCCCTTCTTCTTCTCCTGCTTTGCCACGACTCTCTGGCATGCGACGCACCGCTACGTTCGCATACGACATGGACAACAGGGACGTATAAAATATTCTTCAGTGCCATGAGAAGTATACAAATTTTTTTCTTTTCCTTTCTTCTTTTTCCTTTTTTCTCTCCTTTCGCGCGACACGAAATTTCAATCAAATTTTTTTTTTCATTCGTTAGTTTACTTTACTTTTCTTTACCTTTACCGATGATAAAATTACGTTTGACATTAAATGTCGTACATTCAAATGAAATTGACGATGTCTAACGAAATTCAATTCAGACGTAGAAATTTTATATTTAGCGATTTACGTGTAGCGATTTTTTTTTCCTTTTTATTTTTTAAATTACAAAAGTTCATACAAAATTCGTATTATTCCGAGTGAAGAAAATAAGGATAATGTATATAAATTTTTCACTTGGGGGATGAAAAAGTGAATTATTTTAGATCAAATTAGTTTTCCCTTAAAAACGAGGATAGAAAAATATTTGAAAACATTCAATGATGTTTATAAACATGCGCGCACTTACTTTACATATATATATTTCTTTTAAAAAATGATAGAATAAATTTGTTTATTCTATCGTTTTTAAATTCGTATTGTTCGGAAAGACATTGACCTATGGCACTGTGGGAAAATAATTACGATCCTGTTACAAATACAATCGAGGAAGGAAGTTACAACGCGCACGTTCTCCCCATCGCTCTCCATCGGTGATTGCAAAAGCCGGCTCTTCGCTTGAAATTACATCGTCTTGTACACACGTTCTACTCTCTTATGTGTATATGAAAGAGAAAGAAAGAAAATACGTACACGTGTCTCTCTCTCTCTCTCTCTCTCTCTCTCTCTCTCTTTATCTATCTTTAAGAAGAAGTGCGCATGTCGTGTTCTCTTTGAATTTGTGTGCGCGCGAACAAGCGAACGCCTACGCCATACGGAATAGGCGCCTAAGACGATCGGGTCAATTAATGAAGTTGACGGGGTCAGATCTCATTACGCGTATATTACTGAGGATGAGCAACGCGATTTTTTGTCTTCAACATTAAAGACGTTAAAAGAAATTTTCATTTAATAACAAATATTCCTTTTAATGAAGATTTTTATTCAGTCCGTTCGAAAGAAATCTAACGATGAGACAAATTTTGATTAATACGTGACGTGACAATAATCAAGATCAAACGTATCTTTCTATGTCCGAGAAGAGAATAATAAGCTTGAAATTCTTTCTTTTTTTTAAATCTCACCGCACGTCACGCACATCGGAGGGAGACTTTATTTCCTGTCTGTTTCCATTCGAATTTAGCCCCAGAATTTCAATGATTTCGTTAGAACGACGGAGAATGATTATGTCCGATAATTACATACGAAACTTTCACTCATGTCATTTGATCTTAACGTTACTCTCTCATTACCCGAGGATTCTATTATAATGATCGAAATTACTCTAATTAGCGGACGTTTATTCTGACGTCAGAAGTAATCCATTTTCTCTTTCCCGTTGTTACCCAATAATCAAGATACAGTTAGCACTTACCAAGGAAATAGTCTACGATATACGTGTAGTATGTGAAATTTCACATAATTTATAAAACTCTTTTTTTTTTAGATTATCATAAAGAGATATTAATCATAGTTACCGTTAGATGACACCAAATTAAATCTATATTGCCATTTTGATATGTTGATGTAAGAATAAAATTTGAATGTAATTCTGTTAGAAAATGGAAGTGTTGACAGGAGGATAGATAAAAAAAAAAAAATTATGTTCTCACTTTCTACGATCCTTTATTGTTTTCTTTTTCGAGCTGTTAACCAATTATCCGGTGAAAATTGGAGAAAAGCTTTTCGAATATCTCGATGACTTTTCGGCGAAAATGTGTTGATATCCTGCCGTGCTTGTCAACGCCCTTTCATTGTTAAACTAACCCAAGAAGGATTGGAAACCGAGAATCGACTTAACGACTTCTTAACACCAGACACGCATCGGATGCTTCTCTTTTTCTTTTACCTGTTTCTTTTTTTGAATATCGTAACAGCAGGTACGAGCCTTGGAATGTGGCGGAGTCGACGTCGAGACAGGTGACTCGAAGAAACGTGTGAGCTCGTCGCTAAAAAAACTCTTGGGAAAACTTTCAAATGCTTGGGATGTACCTACTCGTGTATTCATATATATCTATATTATATGTTGATTCGAAAGTTGATGTCACATCATTTGGAAAATGTAAAAGAAGAAATCATCTTTAAAATTCTCTATAAAATGAAATCCTTTTCGTTCCGCGTTCACGATAATACCGATTCTAGATGAAGATTTAAAAAATAATAAAGTATCCTCTGTGAGTTTATATATTCGATTCTGAAACGATGGTTACGATAATGATACGAGATAGACCATGGATAACAACGTTGAATGTTTTGTTTGAGAGCTTTTCTGTTTTTTTTTTTTTTTTTCCCCCATTTTTTATTTCTTCCTCGATAACGTTCCGATCTAATAAACGTAACGACTCTTTCGCGATAAAATTCATGGAAATTCAATTTACGAGTAGTGCTTGAAAATTAAATGAGTTCGAGACGAATATTTTCTCTGAAAATTGATTAGTTACGAATAAAATATTGATTTTTTTTTTTTTTATTTTATTAAATTCATCTGTCAATAATTTTAAAAATTTTCCTCTTGTATTTCGAATTATTTATATAATATTTAAATATAAATCGCTAAATAGAATCGTAGTAAACTAAACAAAAATTTTTCTTTCAAATGTGGAAATGATTACGCATCTGAAGGCAATCACGTTGCATGGTTTATTCCGTATGCTATCCATTACGTTTTACTGTTTCATTTAATAGATCGTAATTTTTACGTTTTACGAGTAAATCGAAGGATGTTATTTAAAATTGATGATATTCCTTAACTCGAGTATCCTCATAAATTTTTATATGTATATTTTCTTCCATTTCCTTAGAATTTTCTTTCGGTTATCAAACGATATTTGAATATCTTATTCGTGGTAATAGTTTTTACTAAAAGGAATTTTTGTAATGAATTTTTTCTTTTTTGTTTTTTCGGAATATCTTATAAAGTGTGTCGTGATTGACATAGTGTGAAAATTTGTTCTCATGTATGGTAGTACGTCATAAAGGAAAGAAAAGAAAAGAAAAATAAAACAACACTTAACTCACCAAAAAATTTCTGCCACGCGCGTTCCGTGACGTAGATAAGCACTCTCTTCTGTTTTCCGTGGAATTCGAAAGAGTAAGAAAAAAGCAACAGTGTTTATGTTGAACTAAATTCGTCACGAGTTTCTTTCACATTTGCCGTATTTCTTTCTCTGTTTTGGCTTTCATTCTTCGTCCCTAGTGCCATGATTTATTTTTGTAACTACTAAATTTAGTATAATTTCGAATGCGAACATATTTTATAATTATTAATAGGGCAAAATTTTTGTTCTCTTCAAGTGGATTTAAATGTCGTACTCATTTAAGAATTTATGATTATTGAATCTAAAAGTATAGAAAATATTTTAATGAATGAAAAACGAATACGTTCGAGACAGATGCTGCAACGGTGCAACGATTTTGAAAAAAAAAGCTTTCAGTTCTTTTTTCTCGATTTTCACTAAATTTATTTTTGAAAATGGACACGCACCGCACTCCGGGGTATCGATCGAATGAGGATGATGAAGCAAATCGATTTCAAAAAGAAAATATTTCTACCTCAATGATATACTTAAGTATTCTAACTGATCATAAATTAATCCATTTTTCACCTGCTAAAGGAAATTCCGAGTGATCGTAAAAAAAAAAAAGAAAGAAAGAAAAAAGAAGAGATACAAGTAAAGATAATTGTCTCGTCAGTCGTCTATCCCGGTTTAATCAATCACTTGGAAGTCGATAGAAAACATCACGTAATTAATCAAAAATGTCAAGTAATAGTTATCATCTCGAACGTAAAAATAATTTGAAAGATCTTAAAATACAATACCCATGAGCTCAATGATTAATTCTAATACAGATAAACTGATTGAACGTGACATTCCATTAATTTAAATGAGAAGGAAGTAATTCTAGATAATTAAGGATCTTAGGGATCCTCGAAACAATAGCTCATTATCTTTATTATTAACATTGATGAGAAATCTTTGAAACATCAAACGATAAGTATGTACACATACACACACACACACACACACACATATATATATATATATATATATATATATGGTTGAGAAAGTTGCCGGCAAAAAAAAGGACAGAAAAAAGAAATCATCAGAGATGAAAACTCACCTTAACGAGAGAAGTTACAACGGGGCTGTCGAGGAGACCCTTAAGAAAGAGAAGATCCGTGTCGTTGGCCACTTTTCCCAGTTCCTCGAGATTTTCACGTACGTGCATGAACGCGGCTGGAACAGTAACCGCGTACTTTTCCATAACTTGTTTCGAGGTTATGTGTGCGAGACAATAAGGGTAGCAGCAGCAGCAATAGCGACAGCAGCTACAACGAGGGTGGCAGCAGCAGTAGCAGCAGCTACGAGAGAGGGTGGAAAATGGGAGATCGCAACGATAATATCTCTCTCTCTCTCTCTCTCTCTCTCTTTCTCTTTCTCTTTCTCTACCCCTCTTTACCAATCCTCGGGCGTGGTCATGTTCCGGACCAAGGATCAATATTAGAATAGCTACAGGTGGCTGAGACACCACGCGTTTTACTCGTCGAATTAAAACGATCGATATATTTTATTTCTGTCTGTCTCTCTTTCTCTCTCTTTTTTTTTCTTTCTTTTTTTTTCTTTCATCATCATTCATTTTGTTTTTTCTTCTTTTAAGAAAGAAGAAGACAGGATAATGAATATATACATTCGAAGTATTTCCTAGCTCTCATTAACACGTATTTGGATCAAGGTTTCAAGGTCTTTCAAGTATTGTGCTATACTAATGATAGAGTTCTAAGTGCTTTTCTATTAGCATTGCGTGTTATGTCGAATGAGTGCATTAGTGCGACGTAAGAAGCTTTGTTTTCGATTATCGATATATGTATGTATGCACATAGAATTATTTAAGGAGGTCAAAACGAGATGTTAATTAGAACGATTCCCTTCGAAATATGATAACTTAATTTCTTGTTGTTTGTGGTAATGAAAACGATAGGACGGAAACCTTAGGCGATGTTTTATACCTATCTCTTTCGTTGATATACTATGAATACTGGTGTTACTACGGTTTCATACATCCAAAAAAGTGTTTCACTAGTAACGAGATAAAATTTCCCCTTATCCGTTATCGTATTTCGTCTTTTTATAACTTTATCTATCTAGATATTAAAGTTCATTCAGTAAGAATGTTTCGCGTTTTATATACATTTCATATACGCTAGGAGGGATAATTTTTTTTTGTTTCTTTTTTTGAGCTTATCTTCATTGTTTCTATCGGATAATAGGCATTTAGGATTATTGTAAATTTTTTGTTCCATCTATCTTTTTTTCTCTTCTGTCTTTCTATATGACTATTTTCTTTTTTTTTTTTTTTTTTTTTTTTTTTTTTGTTACGATGAGTCTAAACTGTTTAAAATTCTATGTAATATTCTTATCGCATGCTTTATTTGAAGGCACACTGTGAAACATCTTATGAGATTATCTTGTTGTTCGAAAAGAAAAAAAAAGTAGATCTGAATAAAATATAATTCGTATTAGTGCATAACAAATTAATTCATGAAAATGAATCGTTAAAATATTCCTGTAGAAAAGAATAATGACATATTTATATACTTCAGGTCGTATGAGTGATTAAAGCGCACCAATGTGCACTGTATCGATGAACCCATGGTAAGTAAGTTAGTACTTAAGTATTATGCACATACTAGTATTGCACATTTATATCGCATGTCCGTATTTCATAATCTACCGACCTGGTTTTCGTGACAATAATAACGTTAGGTGTATATACGTTAGCGCGAGATAACATTTACAAGAAGCAAGCTCTCTTCTTATTTTTCATATTAACGAGTAGACACAGGGAATGACCGAAAATAATTATCATTACGATCTTCGATCGAAAACTAATTGTATAAGATAATATATTTACAAAGATGAAAGAGTAAATAGAATGATAGAGATGAGACCCAAAGATAATATTTGTACTCTACATCCACACGATATATGTATTTAAGAAAGAAATTCCTTAATGTTCGAAGAACGTTTCCTGTGGCGAACGAAAGTTATGGGAAATATTTTGTTTTGATTTCAGAAAATCACGATCGCGTAAGTTTATTGATTATCTCTTTCATTCATTTAAACATTTCATTATATACATATATATATATATATATATATATATATATATATATATGTATATATATGTTTTTAGCATTTTTCAATGTGTTCGTTAAGTCATATTTTGATGTTATAATAGATTAGATTACATTTTAATGTTTATTTTCTATGAAGTTATTTATATTACCGTTTTCGACTTGATACATTTTCGTGCCATTCATGGCATCCATGCTAGCCAGTAATCGACGATCCTCGATCTTTTCTTTCCTCCCGAAGAAAACCATTTTGGAGATGTTCACCTTGCAGGTTAACATAAACTCGTTGTATTAAGTTTTCTTGTGTATATACGTGGTGCCAACACATAAAAGAAAATTCGCATATAAATTATTATTTAAACGGGGCTATAGTTCTAATTTATCGATCATTGTTTCATACTTTGATAAAATATGTCACTTAAAATTATGACTTCCACATGTTCCGGAACACTGAAATTTTTGTTTAAAAAAGAAAAATTCGTCACTTTTTAATTGAAAAAATTGTCCTCTTCCATGATCAATCTCTGTTATTGAATCCTTTTGAACGATCACTTTCATTTTCTTGAGAATGAAAACATCGGAGTAAGTAAGAGTAGTAGAACTTGCGACGAGAAGAAAATGGTGGGAGAAGTTGAAAGAAACGACGTTTTGTTCTGCCACTGCTTTCCTCGTTACTTCCTTACGTTGAATGGAGAGACTGTCTTATACCTGACTGGGGCCTGAGGCCCTGTGGTCTAGGCGCCAAGACAGAAAGCGACACCCCACGGAAGTGTGTGTACCTTGAGAAAGTTCGCGGGCACATCGGACAGTATTAAGATGGTATTAAGAGAAAAACCCATCGTGTGTCGTATCGCGATCGATACCAATTTGATACACGTTTTTCGAGCGTTGCAATTATTTATAAAAAAAAAAAAAAAAAAAAGAAAAAAAAAGAATGCAAATTTTAATCGACATTTATATCAAAAGAATACCGTTTGATATTATTATTGCACTTTTGAAAACTTTTCAGGATTGATGGACGATAAGGAAAGAAAGGGAAGAAAGAAAAAACAAAGAGAATTGAATAAAATAGAATTATTTTTGGAAAGGCTTGAAAAGAAATAAAACCGTAAGCGCCCACCGGCTTCTAACTGCCAACAGAGATTCAAGACTGCGAGAAGGGTCGATGGATTCGGAAACGAAGCAGCTGCTCTTTGAATATCTTTGGAGGGGAGAAATAAATCGAGAAGGAAAGAATGAAGACAAGAGGGGGAGAAGGTGAAAGAGAGAAACATCGAGAAAACAGTGATAGAAATGATACACGGAAAGCCAGACGTCTCGTGTACATTTAAAATCTATGAAGAGCTTTGACTTTTAGAGAAAAGAAATCTTCTTTTATCTATGTTTCACGACATAACTTCGACGTTCTTTTTTTCAAGATAATGGCAATGTCTTTTGAATATTAATACGAAGTACTTTCGTCGCTTTCGTTGTTTCATGAAAATGAAGAATTTCTTCAAATAAATAAACGGGTAAATACATAATATGACTTTTAAATAAAACTTATCCATTAAGCATTCTCTTAATTTTTTGTTTTTCTCTTTTTTTGGAAAATTCGATTGAAATTGATTTATTAATATTTCTATCAAAATGTCTGAAACGTTTATAAATTTCATTTTATCAATATAAATAATCGTATTCTGTATTTTTATCTATACATACGAGTGTGCCTTTTTAATTAATCGAGTTTCATGAAAAGCATAGTTTTGGAAATATTTTTCTTTTTTTTCTTTTTTTTTTTTTTTTTTCTGTAGACCAATGTGGATTACATAGCAGAGCGTTCCGGGGTTTCAAAACGAAGGCTATGTTTATTTTTCATGGTGAATGTAGACAAAGGGATATTTTATTTCGGATTCTTCTGTAAATTCACTTTTGAATCGAGGATAAACCATACAATGATATTTCATAAATTCTAGAGATAAATTCAATTCAAAATTCAACTGTAAAAAATATTATATGATATGCTTGTCAGATATATCGGACGAACGATATCGTCAAAAAAAGATATGATATCCATACGTCAAAAAAATATAGTAACTAGATAATCCAAGGTATTGCAATCCATGATTTACAAAGTTACTACAATTCACGTATGATATTAAAAAAGAGAAAAAGAAAAAATTAGTAAGTATTATCCTAACGAGAATATTTCTTTCAATAGAGTAACATGATCGATTTGAACAAAGATTCAAATACGAAAGAAGTATTTCTTGACAAGGGTCTCTTTCTGATCAATCGATTTGTCAGCTCGGGAGAGAACACGTGCGTGGATATCGATCGTCCGACACTATAGACACCGTAATATGTCGAAGACCTTGACGATCTACGTGATTGTCATAAAATATTCAGTAGTTCTTTTGCGTACAATAAGTTTGATGATCGTTGTATCACCATTGTGCTAAAACCATTGGTACCTCTCTCTCTTTCTCTCTCTCTCTCTCTCTCTCTCTCTCTCTGTCTGAGAAAGTAGTAAGAAAGGAGAAAGGAAATGATCAAAAAAAAAAAAAAAAAAAAAGAAAAAGAAAAAGAAGAAAGAAAGAAAAGAGCAATCGATCGAAAAATTGTCTTGCAACAGTGCAGAAAAAAAGAAAGCACAAAAAGCTCTAGAGAGTTTGAATTTCTAAGAAGAAAAATTACTCACCCGAAGTGGATTTGAAGTGTCCAAGACTATCTTTTCTTTGCACGATAGAGGATATCGCGGAACATCCGCAGATATCCTCAATGACGTCTCTTTTTGACGTCATTTCTCGCTCGATAAGTTTGTCGAGTGAGTCGATTGGCATCACCGTTTTATCTCGATATTACTTGAACGATCCATTCGAATTTTAAAGGATTTCGTGGTCTCCCTGAGAAACCGGTCACTTGAAAACATCCTCATACCTCAGCCAAGTTCCTTTTTGATAATCTCTCGATGGATATTGCGTTGGTAACCAAGAGCCGAAAAATTCACGAAAGACTTGATTCGCGATAATGATAAAACACTGATCAATCAGAAGTAACATATGAAGATGATGACGACGACGACGACGACGACAACGACGTAAAGCTCGAATGAGTGCGTATATAATGGTACGAAGCGTGTTGGAAAATGGCGGAAGTCCAAGATCGAGGTCTATTCATAGATCCTCCGTGACGTATTATAAGTATCGAACAGTACTTTTCAAGATTTTCATGTTTTCGTGGGACTTACAAAAATCTTCTTCTTGAGATTAAAAGAGAAATAGAAGAAGAAGAAGGACGAACGAAAGGATTAGAATGGATATGGTATATTGATCTTGAGAAAAAAACTAAAGGAAGAAGAAGAAAAAGAAAAGAAGGTGTCCAAGAATGAGAACGATCGAATCGTTCCGCGCGTACTCGTTGACTCTCTGTCAGCGCTTGTTCTCTACGTTGTGCTACCAAGGGGGTAGTTTATCCACCCTCTCTTTCTCTATCCCTCTATCTTTGTTTCCTTCTCTCTCTCTCTCTCTCTCTCTCTCTCTCTCTTTCTCTCTCTGTCTCGTTCTCTCACTCTCTTTGTTTCATGCAAGCGAGTGGTTCCTCGACTCGTGGCAACGTGAATACCTGCTTATATTCATTCACAATCGATCGATAGTTAAACGCGACCACGAAAGGGTGCTGCCTCTAATCCGTATAGTCGCTTTTTGAATCTCTTCCTTGTGTGTGCTCGAGCGATTTTACCTCGCGATAACTCGAACTATCCTTAGCGCGTGCTAAGGGCTAATCTTTCAAACGATATTATAATTTAGAACAATCACAATTCTGCTCTACATTATATTTCATATAAGTATATTTCAAAGTTTTGCATTTCATTTTTAATGATCCTTTTTATTATTATTAAATGATTCATTATGTAATATAGATTGATTAAAGATCATTGATCAGATTGTCTAGTTTAAAGATTTATTTATTTATTGTTTCGAGGAAATATCTTGCTTCTTCTAATATCTTTTTTTTTTTTTTTTTTAATAAAAGAAAGAGTATAAAATCATCCTTTTTTTTTAGCATGTTCAACTTCTTTTAGAAATTAATTAATACGTATAATTTTAATTACTATCAGTATTTTTTCTTTCCTTGTTTAATACAATGTATTTCTCATTTTAAAGGTATGGCCATCTTGTGGTAAGTAAGGCGAACTAAAAGTAACAGACGAAGACGTTGAATGGGTTGCCTACTGCGAGGCTTAAAGCCTACCGGTAACTTGTTTTAGATGATCATTTTTGATAGCTCGATTTATGATGCCAAGATGGCAGTAGTGCCTTTTTTCATTCATTATATTTGATGAAATTGGTCTACTGAATTATATTTCCGGCCTATTCTAAAATAGATGATGTCTATTTAAAAGCCTATAAATTTTACAATCTATCTATAGAATTTAAAAGAGCATTTACGTTCTATTTTGTATATACATATATATATATATTCTTATAGTCTTATATATATATATATATGTATATATATATAAATATATTCTTATAGATTTTTTGCTATTTTCACTATTTTTTATTTCAACATTTTTTTATCAATCATTAGAAATTACTAATTAAAATCTTTCATATGATTCATGATTGATGGAAAATTAGCTTCGTTGAGCATACATCGAGCTTGCCAAATAGTAGATGGTCGAGTGCATTAACAAGCCATAACGAATCTATTTGTACTGCAGTATCATTTTTAATCAGGTCAGCAGTCTTCTAGAGTAATGAGCCAATTTGTTTACTTTTGACTATTGAATTAAGCGTATGCTTGTTGAGTATGGTTATATCTTTGATAAGAATCTTTATATATATATATATATTTTTTTTTTATTTTTAATCGATTAATATCAGTATAAAAACGATTACTTTTATAGATTGGATTCGATGATTAATGCTCCAGTAATATTATCATTCACGATTTATTCACGATAATTAACAGATTGCATAATATGTTTGACCGATATCTTTCGTCGCTGACTTTCAATTGCACTTGTGGAAGGTCCAACTCTAATATGTAACGGAATAACGACGATGATAATGATAATCGATGATAATAGGTCTTTGACGATGACAGCAGGAATGGAATGGCTGCTATATTTTCCCCTCCTCTCATACTTTGTCACGTGTCACGAATAAAGATGTAGCAAAACGAAGGGTCACTAATCTACAAATCAGTTCGTAGGTCGACTTTACGATGCAAAGGTCGCAACTTTCCTTTGAATTATTTTATTCTCTACATCCTAATAATCCTAGTAAAAAGTGACGAACTGGATAAAAGTGTTTTTGACATGCTTATTGTTCAAATTCTAAATTCATTATAAATTTAAATAAGATACATTGTTGAAGTCAACGGTATGCAGAAAGAAAGCTCTTCTCGAGGGAAGAATTTCGATCAAAGATATTTGAAATGTAAGGTAGAGATAAATTTAGATACATCGATAAGAATGAGAATATATTTTGTAATATTGAAATTTATTTCTTCTCAATGACAGACGCTTGAGATTAATTCGAAAAACAACTCTATATAGAAAAATATTTAATATATGTAGAAAATAGCAATAGTTAATGGAAATAATTAATATTATCAGTCCAATCGTTAATTTGTATTTATTCGTTTATATTGATATCAACGATGACCATAGGTTATCGATTTATATTATTGATCATATTTATATATCAAAATATATGAATATTAAAAAATATCGACCGATAGTTTAATATGATCGATGTTTGTAATACCATAATTTAATAATTAGAAGGATTTGGTAAATTGGCATTTTGTTATTTTCTTTTTTTTTTTTTCGATTTAAATGTACGACATAACAGACATTAGGAACGATTATTGATCTTAATGTTAAAACATTAACTATCAAAGATAATTACAAAATTGACGAATAGAGAGAACGGTCAATAGTTATTTACTTTAATACCTCACGTAGAACTTTATTTAGCATAACCGCGATATAATAAGGTCAGTTCGTTTTCATAGTCGTCACGTGCCAATCGTAACGATCCATGAACGTTTCGTCATAACGGATAACGTAGTCGACCCTGCGTCGACCCTGAAAACTCATCGGGAAATATGAATTCTAAAACGCTTTTTCTTTCGTTTTTTTTTTTTTTTATTTCTCGACAAAGAAAAACATATAAACACATAGACACACACAGAGAGAGAGAGAGAGAGAGAGAGAGAGAGAGAGAGAGAGAGAGAGAGAGAGAGAGAGAGAGAGAGAGAGAGAGAGAGACGTAAGACAACGATATCGTCGGGATTTAGAGACAAGTAAATAACAAATAATTTCTATAAATTAAATATTTGAATTGTTTATCGACGAATTGATGAATCTCAATGTATTAGATAAATGTGAATACTTGATGATCGATAAAATAATTGAAGGACATCAAAGACTTGAGAAACGTTAGAAAGATATTCGATGAACAAGTTGCCTGTCCCTTATCGTACAAGATAACGTTGTCCTTGACGTTTCAAGTTCGAAGATACATTGAGCTGTAATCAGAGAAAGTTTTCTACGTGTAAATAGTTAACGATCGGAATAATCAATAAAATAATCGTTTGAAAAAAACTTACGAAAGATTGTTGCAATTGTACGATCATTAAAATCAGATAAAATAAATTATCATCATCATTTCTCAATAGCACTCGTTGCCATTACGATCGTTTAATAAAAACAAAAGAAAATCTAATATAGAAAAATATCGGTGTAATCTGTAATATTTATCAACGATGACAATGTCGAGCCTTGCCGGATGTGGATGTGGTTTCTGGGTTATCAAAATTACTTTTTTTTTTTCATTTTAAGAGAGCCTCTCGTGAAATCAGGAAGTTAGAAAGGAAGTTGAAATAGACAAATCGTTGCCTGTGTATTGTCGATCCAATCAATCGAAACTCGGCTATGAACTAATTAAAAGAGGAGAAAAGAAGAGCAAGTGAAAAGAAGAGAAAACAGAGAAAGAGAATAGAGTGGGGAAAATAAGAGAAAGAGCACGCATGTATCTCATGGATTTGTTATGTACGTATATTACATATGTACGACTAAACAGAAGGAAATAAGGAGAGAAAGAGAGAGATTAAGAAGAGAGAAAGAGAAGAGAGAAGGTTAAAAACGACAAAAAATTACAATTTATCGAAGTAGGTGGGAGCATACGAGAATATAAACACGTCGGCAAAATACTTGATCGATCAGTCTTCCTCCAACGTTCTCCTGGGATCTGTTGGAACGTCGGGCTTTTCGATCATCGTCGAAGAAGATCCCTCGCAATCGACACGTGCGCGCTCTCCTTCATCCCTAAAAAACATGGTAGGTGAACGTACATTAAACTATATATCTACTATATTACTCCCTGTGTGAATACTCTTAACATTAGTATTCTTTAAAAAGCATCTCTGTTTGATATTTTCGAAGAATGAAAGATATTTTATTGCTCGATTGTCGTTAAATTTGTCGAGTCCAATTATTTATCGGCAAACGGTCCTTGTTCTTCGATAAATTGAAAAGAAAAAAAAAAAAAAAAAGAATATGATTTAATTACGTTATGTAAAGTATTAATCAGAAAGTATATATTCGAGATGAATTTACGTACGTAATACGCAAAGTGCTTTTATGTAAGTATACGTTATAATAGATACGACATATACTCCTTTAATTATTCGATTCGTAATTAACCACGTGATCAAATATATACATCTCTCATTCTACTTTTCGTATCAAACCGGTTATTTCCGGAGACGACCAAATTTGTTTTTTTTTTCTTTCTTTTTTTTTTTTTCTTTTTCTCTTCGTTTTTTTTCTAAATCCCGTTGTCGTGTTTCCTTATTTGCCAGTCACATATAGTCTCGATTATAGCAAGGACGAATTCGATCACGAATAACATTTGTACGATCTATCGTTGCTAGTACATCGTTACCGGACGAATAATAACGGCGTACATAAAAAAAAAGAAAAAAAAAAAAAGAGAAAGAAAAAAAAATCGAACTTTTTCATTATCGCGGAAGTCACGTATGGTGTTATCACGGCAACGATAATCATTTACCATGGTTAAAATTATTACCTATATAATGTTAATCACGTATACGTGCATGTCATATAGCAACGATGAGTTACAAATTATATGGCATAATCCAAAAAATCTAATCGTTCTCTTGATCGACGAAGGAAGAGAAAGATTAAGGAAATACATGTCTACGTGCGAGATAAATCTATGCGTGTTACCAATTCATTTTCTTCTTTACGTATTTTTTAAACGCGTTTTAATAACTTATTTCCAGTAAATTCCTTTCGAATAATATCATTTTTTAAACAAATAACTTCACGCCCGTGATATCTCGATTCATCGATATCTATAATCGTTTATTGTTTCATAAAACGACTGTCTAGTGCATTGACCGGCTTACGAGATAGAGTCGATATCGATCGATAGCAACGCTAAAGAATCGTTCGATTCTTAACTGGACTTTATATCCGTAAAACTTTTAAAGGATTTCGAACTACTTATCTTATTTCTATCTATTTCATAGTTTCGATCTGCAAAGGATCTATATCGAAAACTTGAAAATTCCTGCGCGTACGGAGAAAGAGAAAGAGAGAGAGAGAGAGAGAGAGAAAGAGAGAATACTGTTTTAATAATAAATCGCATTTCCATTCTAGCGAGTAAGAGATGAGAAATTAATTCTTTTTCATAAAAAGAAAAAAAGAAAAAAAAAAGGGATTCTCCTTAATCTGGAATGATTTTAGAATTCATCAACGTTTATATGAATTTGTGATAAAAATTATTTTATCGAATTACTTGGAACTAGCAAAGAAAAAAAAATGTAAATAAAAAAGTGATTGATTTGTATTAATTAATCTTAATAATCGTTTAGCTTTTACTTTGAAAGATTAAACAAAAGTCGCAGATAATGATATGCATTATAATCGAGCTTAGTGTTCTCGTAGTAATAATCGTGTGATTTGCTCTAATTTGCTTTCTGAATAGGACCGAATGTCAAACATTTAAAGGGCATACTCGACGTGTGCGACGTACTCTCTCATATGCGTGTTATTTTTTTTTTTTGACTTTCTCGTTTTATCCTTAAACGCGCGTTAACAAACATATGTGTATAAATTTTACGTACATATATATATATATTTATTGTGCGATTATATGTGCATACATCCAATCGGAAAATTAAGAAAACCTTCGAAAGTCTTCGGTTTCGTGATATTTCGCATAGCAGACCCGACATCGTACATTGTGCCTCGATAAAAAAGTTTACGAGCGCAGTTAGAAGTTGGCACGACGACAATAATTTCATAGCTTTTAGTGCTTTTTAGGCTTGTTCTCGAGTATGGAATTATTGTCGTTGCAGCCAAAGCGACCTCGTGCAATGCCGTACATTCCATTGCCAAAAGTTTTCTGTCACGTAGACGTCGTCTCTTTCTCTCTCTCTCTCTCTCTCTCTCTCTCTTTTCTTTCTCTCTTTCTCTCTTTATTTTCTTCTTTTCATTTTCCCTTCTTTTCTCTTCTCTACCCTTCCTTTTCCCTTCTTATCGTCCTGCTCTATTCTTCCTCCCTTCATTTCTCTCTACGGTTCGAACACTTTCCTGTTTCTGAGATATGCATTTAGGTTACTTTATGCGTTTCTTCTGATTTCTTGCCTTCGCAAATGACGAGGAAAGGAGGGGAAAAAGGGGGGAAAAAATGGTTGAAAGTTAAAGGGAACGTTGGTCTGGATCTGTAATTTTTAATATCGCAACATTTTCCATAGTTTGAAATTCTTTTCAGGTTCCACTACGAAGTTTCGTACTTCTTAACGGCCTTTTCTTTGTCTTATTGGCAGCGCGAACAGGTAAACCGTTGACTAATTTACATGAATTTAAATACAGTAGAATAAATAAATATCCTAGTTGTTCGAATTTTCCTTTTTTTCTTTTTTTTTTTTTTTTTTTTTTTCTTTTTTATATATATAAACTAATCCAAAAATTTTTCTCCTGATAAAAATACGAACGATAAGATATACGCGTTAACGTATTAATAAGATTAGAATAGTTGTCATTTCGTACGTTATCGTATTATTTCTCTAGAATTCTCAATTCTATTTCTCACGGAAAGAAAGATTTATTATTTGAATTTACACGCCTTTACTGACGTTCGATTACACGCTTCCGTAACATTTTCCGAACTTCTAATTTCATCTCTCAGCACGTACTATTCGAGCGTCACTCTAAATCGTAGAACCCGAAGATATTGAATTAAAATTGAAAATAAAGGATAAGAAATAGAAAGAGGCGATAACGTCGATATGATCGATAAAGTATGGCGATCTCATCGAGTATCATTATCGAAATCATATAATTCCATAATCATTGCATGTATTTTCCATTGAAATTTTCATCATCTCAATAAGTAGTAGATGAAATAGTAGACGATTATAATTAACCTACAATTCATAAAGTCCATTATCATAACAATACCGGATGTATAAAAAAAGAAAAAAAAACCTCGACTTTCTATCACTTAGATGGTAACACCTCGTTAAACTGTTAATTTAAAAGTCGTAGAGTCCTAGATAAAGGCAAGTCATTGAATGAGCCTGTAAACTTTTTAATAATGTTATCGCGAACAAATTGCAAAGTGCATTTAGTTGAAACACGACCGACCATTTAGTTTATCTAACTTTTCCATGTATATTCCAAAACGTAAAGTAGATAAATCATGTTAGCGGTCAGCCCTGAATTTAGTACGAGCAAGCATAATAGTCGAATAATATCAATTTGCATAAAAAACGAACGGATATATAGATATTACGTTTTAATAAAATTTATCTAAAGATGATCGATATTTGCGTGTATAGTAGTGACGCGTGTTATCGACAAAGACAACTTGGATGGAATACTCGAGACTCAGGATGGTCAGAATCTTTCCAAAGAACCCTTCAACCTTGAAGAAACCTACACTGCCGATTTTCTAGCTTACACCTTCAATGGCACTTGGACATCGGACACCACGATAGTTTATACGGATATAATGACGGGAGATATTGTTCAATTCGACGTTATCAAGCAACGATTGACTGTGATCGTCGATTCATCGGTTATGGTAAAAAAAAAAAAAGAAAAGTCATTGGATTATTATAGTATGGTAATACAATCGCGTGATTTTAACCATTTCTTTAACTTCAAATAATCTTAAAGATGATGATTTCGATATGTCCTACCTATACCTATGTGATTATAATAAGAATTATATATTTTTGTTCATGCATGAAATTATTTTTTTTCTATAGATATTAAATCTTTTCTAGGACGACTACATAGTCTCGCATTACACGTTATCGCCGAAAGGACGATATCTTCTGATAGGATACGATTTTCAAAAGGTGAGTATGAAATTTTTTTTCTTCTCCTTTTCTTTTTTTTTTTTTTTTTTTTTTTTTTTTTTTTTTTTTTTTTTTTTTTTTTTTTTTTTTTTTTTTTTTTTATATATAGATCACTAATAAATTTGTATTAGAAGCATTCTAGTAATTTATATTTTAGGGATTCCGACATTCGAAATTCATGAGATACGTCATTTATGATATTGAACTTGGGTAAGTAAAATGTTTACCTTATCTTTATATAGTGTTACTTGCTTTGAAACTAATATTTTTTTATTTTTTTTATTATCGCTATACAACAATAAATTAAAACGATAAGAATCTTAAATAGCAGAGGATTTATCAAAAAAAGACAGAGAGTGAGAGAGAGAGAGAGAGAGAGAGATCATGTTACTAAAAGATAAAATACGAGTTTTCTTATTTGATCAATCCCGTATCGCTTACAAAGCAAATTGTATTGTTTTTTTTTTTTTATCAGATGCTTTATAAATAAAACCAAACAATTATTTTTTCAACGAAGATACTTTTAATCTTTGAAACTGACGATCGATATTGCAATTACTCGAAATATAAACATGAGCGTGCAGTTTAATTATTGGCTCATGCATTCTAATCAATTTATTATATTTATTTATTTTTTTTTTTTTACTTTCTTTCAGAGGATATGATAAAATTGCTAATGGGATGCATATAGCGCTTGCCAAATGGGCACCACTAACAGACGATTTGATATATATTCTCGATAACGATATCTACTACATGCGTTTCTCTAACAACGGTTTTAATGATGTTCAAAGAGTGACGTATGATGGCATTGTCGGAATAGTTTACAATGGTGTGCCTGATTGGGTTTACGAAGGTAACAGTGATTAATGAATAATTCATTGTACTCAGATACCAATATCCACAATTACAAATTTTTCAACGAGTCCATTGTTCTTTATCGTAAACATTTACATACATAGACGAAAATATTAAAAATTTTTTCCTTAGATCGATGTTTGTTTATAGAAAATAAAAAATTCAAAAGATTAAAATCGAGAAGTTCGATTCGAACGTTTATTATACGAAAACTATTGATTTCTTTGTAAAAATATTTCCTACTAAGTTGGATTTTTTTTCTCTTCTTCTTCTTTTTTTTTTTTTTTTTTTTTAATTTCGATGATTACGCTGCATCATTAAAATTCGTTAAGAATAATAACAATTGTTATCGCAGAGGAAGTGTTCCATGGATCATCGGCCATATGGTTTTCGCCAGATGGTAGTCACTTAGCTTACGCATCTTTCGACGATAGAAATGTGCAAGAAATCTTGTACCTTCATTATGGAGAACCCGGTAATCTCGTGGACCAATATCCCACGGAAGTGAAGATCAAGTACCCTAAGGTGAGATCTCGATTCATTTTATAACTCGATATTATTCAATCCACGATATTCGTTGACGACTGAAATATTTAGATTGATTGACAAGCCGTTGATTCGCCATCCATTTCTGTGATTCTATTCAACCATTTCATTTAGAAATGGTAAATAATAATTATCTTGAACCCACATCGAAATAGAATCGTGAAACGTTGATATTCATGCAAGCAATGAATGGATCAAAATATGCAAGGATTTATTCATTCCTGGATGTCACAGAAAGCAACTCGTCGTTGAAAGAGGATCAGCTTGAGTAATCCTTTAGCTTTGTTTTTTCGTCCGTAGATTAGTGGAGGTATCACAGAAGCGACGATTTAAAACGGGCGTAAAAGTCTTGGCAGCGACACGCTTGGCGGCTTTCGTAGAATGAAAAGGGTTATCGTCTTTTTCTCTATCTTTTTCTCCCTCCCTCCCTCCCTCCCTCCGTCACTCTTCTCTCGTGTAGCTGGTTTCATTTAATCCTCTTCTTCTTCTTCATGAGGAGTAGAAAGAGCTAGAGGCCATTTTAGTCGCTCGTGTATCGGTACGTTCTTCGCGGATAATCCCATTATCGAGGTACACCTCACCTCTACCAAACTAGATGGTTTCGAACAAACCCAAAGTGCTTTGCGGTTTTCCTTCTCGATCAGGGTCTCTAGGATTGCCTGTATCGTCGATAAGAGACTAACTTCGACGATAGGTCGTCCCTTCCATTCGTTCTTTCTTTTTCTTTTTCTTTTTCTCGTGTTTTCTCTTTTTTCTCTTCTCATAAGGATACTTTGATTTATTTCGACTTATCTGGATTTAAAAAAAGTATGGTGGCTATGGAGGATGAACGTTAGGAAAGACGATAGAAACGAGGGTAGTAAAGACGTTCTATAATCATACTAACGGGATTATTCTTTTGATCGATCTCTGTCTTTCCTATTTTCAGGCTGGCACTTCGAATCCTGTGGTATCTTTGACGCTCGTCGATCTTCACGATCCTACGTTAAATAAGATCGATTTGAAGGCTCCCATTGAGGTTGTTGGCACGTGAGTGACATTTCTTTCTGCTTAGGTAAATGAAATATCTCTTATTTTTTTTTTTTTTTTACTTACATTTTACGACCTTTTTTTTTCGTTCAACGACACAGAGACAATGTACTGTCCAACGTTCAATGGAAAGATTTTGATCATGTCATTGCTATGTGGTCTAATCGCGTACAAAACAAGACTGAAATAGTTTGGTATAATAAGTACGGTGAAATTGTTAAGACATTGGATGTTGTGGAACACGAGGGATGGGTGGAAATAAAAAATCTATTCTTCTACAAAGATTTCGTTTACATGCGGAAACTACAACCGTCTGGTATGTTTGCGAAACATATATATATATATATATATATATATATATATATATATATATATCTTTTTTTTTTTAATTTCTGAAATGAAGCTGCCAGAGAAATATAGACAGACATTATGGATTAAATTTTCTGTCCGAGGATACTTCAATTTTCGATATTTTGAAACTTTAGATTGCGAATGAAATGTATGCTGTGGTATGAAAAGTGGGTGCATAGTTTTAATAGCAAATGAGTTATCGTATTTGATATAAGATTTAAATTATACTAAATAATACGATCGAAGCGTATTTTCTATTCTCCGAAATATCGGATAGCTCGAATATTTCTCGAATTTTTTGTTTGTTTGTTGCTTTTTTTTTTTCCTTAAGTTCGAATTGTTCATTAATGCATTTTGTTTTGTTTTTTCGTTCGTCAGGTACGAAGGCTGGAAGATTTCATCATGTGACGAGATACGACGATACTCTTCGATCATCATCGACTCAAATGGATTTAACTCCAGGTGTCACAGAGGTACAAGATATTCGTGCAATTGATCATTCCCATGGTAGAATTTACTACTTGGCCACTGGACCCGGGGAACCATCTCAAAGAAATTTATATTCTGTGCCAGCCGATGGTAGCGAGAAACCTACTTGCATATCCTGCAACGTCCTAACGCCGGAAGGTAAATTTCACATAAGAGAGAAACTTTTTCTTCTTTTAATTCTAAATGTTTTTATTTTATTTGTCTGATTTTCTGTTTTTTCTTTTTTTTTTTTTTTTTTTTTTATTTCATCAAGATCGAGCATTAAATTAAATTTAATCGATCGTTTTAACGATACAAATTTTCGGATTATATTTTATGTACAAGTATACGTGTACATAAATTTATAATACGAATTATTGGACGTTTAGAATTCTCCCTTTTCTATAATTTCATTGAATTTCTACCATTGAAATTAGATCGAGCGTTCCTCTCGGCTCTATATTTCATAACTTATTCGCATCCGATTCAACGAAATTCGCACAAAGAGTGATAACGCAAGCATACACACAATTTTATCATTTAGGTATGCGAATATTAACCCTTTACGGATAAATTCCGCAAATGCAAGCTGCATTTACGACGATGATATATCAAATGAAAACTGTAAAAATATAAATCTTTTTAGATTTTAGATAATAGATACTGATATGATAACAGCGATGGTAATGAAATTGTTCTTTAAAAAGAAACGAAGAATACTATAATTACTACGCAATAAATAATATCGCTTTATACAAAAAATGCATCCGACTCACCCAGAAGAACATTTGAAAAAGATATCCCGTCCTCAAAGGATTAAATATTCCTTTCTTTCTCCTTTTCATAGTCTCTCTCTCTCTCTCTCTCTCTCTCTCTCTCTCTCTCTCTCGTAAAGCGTAAAATATTGTGGCATGAATTTCGAAGAGTAGAATTTCGAAGTATGAATGCCGAAGACTAGAATGGAAAAGTCATAATTATTTCTTTCTTTTACGTATCAAAAACGTATCGCGAAATTCTGTTCGTCAAAAGTTTCATCGAAATCAAACAATTATTATCTACGAATTATATTTTCATGAAGTATTAAAAAGTAATACAAGTGGATTAAGAATCTTTACGTATCTTTACGAAAGAAATATTTATTCGAATATCTAATTACGAAAGAATTATTTGGGTATTAAAGTAATCGTTATTATTAGGGATATTATTTGTAATTTTATCTTTTTTTTTTTTTTACAGGTAATGCGTGTACATACGCAGATGCAATTTTCTCGCCATTTGGACAGCATTACGTTTTAATCTGTCAAGGTCCCGATCCAATGATCGTCGGTATTTTCGATAATAGCCACAAAAAAGTTTATTCATGGGAAAACAATCTGTTTTTACGAAGTAAACTTGCAAGGAGAGAGTTACCTCTTGTCAAAGACTTATACGTTCGAGCGAATGGTTACGAGAATAAAGTCAGACTCTTTCTACCGCACAACTTCGACGAAAGTAAATCGTATCCGATGTTGGTCAATGTGTAAGTACTTTCTTTTCCTTCCTTAACTGCATCTTGCAAACGGCCCTTCTCGTTTTAAGAATAGCACGATAATCCTACAGCAGAGAGTTCGCGAAACTACCGCTAGACTTTTGGCCCCTTCTTTCTCTTCTCTTTTACGAGAAAATAAAGCGACGTGCCTTTCTGAAAAATGTATAGAATTCACTTCGAATCGTAGTAAATCGACTTCGTGCTTCGAAATTGAATTGAATTAATCGATTTTGGCTTATATAGTTCGGTCATTTAACTCTTTATTTTAAATCTTTCACAAGTTTTGATTAACAATAAGTTTAATCAAAATTCTTCTTCCAATTTTTTCTTTTTTTTTTATTTCTCCTCACTACTTTTATTTTATTTACAAGTTCATTAGGAAAAAATTTTCTTAAAACCTTTAACTCGTTTTAAACATAAAAGTAATAAGAGCTAAACTACCTATAATAACAAACATAATGTTCCCAACAAATTTCAAAGTTTCTAATCGTATTTGAGCATGTTTGGTGTAGAACAGTTTATACGAAAAGTGTAAATTGATATAATTTAGTATAATACTTCAGTGTAATTTTTTAAAAAACCTTATATTTTTTTTTTTAAATCTTTTCCTCCTTTATTAATTAATTTTAAATATAATATCACGTCAGAGTATACTCAAGAGAAGCAGAGAAAAATATTATTGTCACGTTAGAGATTATTCCAAAGTGCTCAAAATTAACGTCCATGTACAAACTCGTTTTTAATAGCCTTTGCGAATATCAACTGAAAATCATAAATATTCGACGATAATAGTTGTATTATTATCGGTCGATATCATACGACGATCGATTCGATATTGCGATCAGATAGAAAGATATACACTTTATCGATACCATAATAAAAGATTTCTACTTGTGATGTCCTATTCGATTTAATTCCTTAAAATTGAGTACGTGAATTAAGGTATTGTTTTTAAAGAAAATCATTAAAAATCGTTGTTGCGTGAAAAACAGACTTTTATTTCTTTTAAACGAACGAAGAGTAATTTTGTAAGAGTAAGAAATATATATGTATGGATAGATATATATATATATATATATATATATATATATATATATATATATATGTATATTTTTTTTTATATCGCATTCGCTATTAACGAGATCATTTCGATGTCATTAGGAATAGTATGATTGATCTTCCTCAACAAGGAGAATCTCAATTTCTATTTAAAATTATTTCTCTTTTTTTTTTTGTATTCTCTTATTGTGTTCGTATTTTTTTCTTTTTCTTACATTTATTTACATTTTTCTTTCCTTTCTTTTTCTCTCGACACAGATACGCTGGACCAAATACGGCAAAAATAATTGACGTTGCTTCGTACGGTTATCATGCGTATATGACGACGAATCGTAGTGTGATCTATGCTTACATAGATGGTCGTGGATCATCGAATAAGGGTAGCAAAATGCTTTTTGAGATTTATAGAAGATTAGGTACCGTTGAGGTTGAGGATCAGATTAGCGTAACCAGGTAGACAAAATATTGAAAATTTATATATTACAAAGTAATTAATTTTTTAAATCACGATCGAAATTCTGAGAATTCGTATATTTTTTTTTTAGAAAACTTCAAGAAATGTTTCCTTGGATTGATTCTAAGAGAACGGGCGTCTGGGGCTGGAGTTACGGTGGCTTCTGCAGTGCCATGATTTTGGCAAAAGATCTAACTTCTGTTTTTAAGTGCGGAATAGCCGTAGCACCAGTATCCTCTTGGATTTATTATGGTAAGGAATTTCTTTGCAAGTCTTTTAATAAAATTCTGCTTACATTCCTCTGTTCGCTCCTTTTATTTTAACGAGAAATTACTTTTCAAATTGAAACAATCCTATTTTATTTTTCATTTAAACAACATTTGTTCTTCATCAAAAGAAACATAATCTTTTATTTTTCCGTTTTTGTCCTCAACTTTGAAAGTTATAAACGCAATTTCTTATTTTTCGTTTTTGTCCTCTAACTTTGAAAGTTGGGAACATAATTTTTTATTTCAGTTTTTCGTTTCTAACTTTAAAAGTAAAATAAATTTTCTTATTAGAGATAGCATTCGAGACAGAAAGAGAGAGAAAGAAAGATGGGAAGAAAACACTGATGAGGGAAAATGATCGAAAAGTACTATATTTTTGCAGATTCGATTTATACGGAAAGATATATGGGTCTTCCAACACCAGAGGACAATCTTGGTGGTTACAATGGAACGGACGTGTCAAGAAGAGTGGAGGATATTCGAGGGAAGAAGTTTATGTTGATACATGGTAGCGGCGATGATAACGTTCATTATCAACAATCATTGGCATTGGCAAAGGCCTTAGAGAAAGCCGATATAATGTTCGAACAGATTACTTACACGGACGAAGCACATGCGCTCTTCGGTGTCTTGCCTCACCTTTATCATACAATGGATAGATTCTGGAGCGATTGTTTCAGTCTGTCTCACGCTCACTGATTCCAATATTCCTTTTTCTTCAATGATCGAGAATATATGACATCGCTAAAAAGAATAATTGAGAACGAAAAGTCAGATAGGGGATTTGTATTGTTCAAGAACGATACATAGAAAACTTCTCCGAGAGAATTTCGAGAAACATTTATCTCGAAAATGTCGAAAACATAGAGTCGCTATTTCGATTCGAATCAAATCGGATCATACCTATTGAGATTTTTAATTGAACCTTTCGAATATAATTGATGGAACGAATAAAAATTCTTTCTTAATGTATTTTAGATCTTTGATAATCGAATTATTACTAAATTATTTCTAAATTGCCGATTTATATTCAATTTTATGAACGATTTCTAACTTAAAATTTCGATTACGAATATTCATTGTTAAGATTGAAAAAAAACGATTTATTATAAATATATCGATTTTCAATAATGCCAAGACATTCGTTAGAATTTTCTATTGCATAAAAAGGAAATCTACTCTGTGCCAATTTGATTGACGAGTTGGAAGAGTTTACATTTTCAAATTTCAAGTTCGCAAACGTTTCGAGAGCACAATTCGAAGGCCGCATTTCGTTGCCAAAAGATGATCCGTTCGTTGGTTCGTTCTGGTCAAAGGAACTTTTCGCGAAATTTAATCAATTCGTCCGTCATCGTCTATGTGTATTCTACGTCAAACGAGAAGGTGAATTTTTACAGCGGCCCACTGACCTGGAATTCGAAGCAACGAAGGAAGAAAAATTTGTTAAGAAGAAAAACGTTTGTTCGAGACCGCTCATTGTGTGTGTGTGTGTGTGTGTATGTGTGTATATGTATGTATGAGAAAGAGAGAAAGAGAGAGAGAGAATTCTTTCCTGCAGACGCTCGAAGTGGGTGGACGGAATAGCTTTCGAGGAACATTGAAACTTACGCTGATACATTTGCAGAAGTTCTTTTTTTAAATTTCATAAAAATTTCAACATCCTGAACCATCGAAATTATATCAAAAACTAAAAGCTTCATATCCCGTATCGTATATACATATTGAAAAATGAGGAGAGAAAATTTAAAAAGAGTAAACAATTAATAATCAAATTTTCATTTTAAATAAATAACAGTTCAGAATATTCAATGATAATTATTTTTTTTTTTTTTATTGTTACGAGTACAATTATTGATTTAATGAGAAAATAAATAAACATTGAATATTCTGAATGAAAAGAAAAATATTAAAAAAATATTTTTTTTTTCATTCATTAATAAAGAACGATCAATACCCGGTATATCTTAAATCGAGTTTTTGTTTTCTCTTTTTAAAAATCTTATTTGACATCGTTAGAACGGCTTGAGTCGGGATTACACGGTACTACTAACGAAGTCACGACGGCATACTGCAAGATTAAAATCAGCCGTACTTCCATTCTCTGCATTGGCGCATCGCATCTATCTACCGTAGCACGGTTTCATCCTTAGATTCTCGTTTCATTTTTCTCTCTTTATGTTAGGAAGTCAGAGAGGTAGATGATGGTAGGAGAGAGTAAAATGGTAAGGTCTTATAGGGCCTCGTTCTTTGTCACAGAAAACAATAGCTGGCATGGCTCTGTGGAGGTCTCTTTACTTCGCTGCTTTTGTGAATTTAGGGATATGAGAATAAAAGAGAGAAAGGATGAATGCGAGAGAAAGACAGAGAGAGAGAGAGAGAGAGAGAGAGAGATGGAAAGAGAAAGGTTGGATAGAGTAGATGTAGAATTGCTCCTCCTTGCGTGTGGTTACACTTCAGTTTGTATTTGTCCTGTGCGACGTCGTAAACAAACGTTTTTCCATTTCGACTAAACGACATCTAAAAAGATTGTCAAATATTGATATATCCAACACTGTCGATTCTCCTTGAACTCAAAATATACGCATAACATTTAAGGACTATGATCGTATTCGGTGGATGCACGAATATAATTTGTTTTTTTTTTTTTCTTTCTTTCTTTCTTTCTTTCTTTCTTTATCTCATATCGCTCTAACAATATTGCCTAATGTTCAGCCATTATTGGATATAATACTCCATAGCGATATACACATCGTGATAATGCATAATTTCGTGGTGGACGTTACTCTTTAAAATTTAAATCAGATAAAAGTAGAAACATTCGTTTCTCGCAGTTTAATTGATCGCAGTGCGTTCAATAATAACAATTTGTTTTGTTAAATTATATAAAATACATTATTACGAATACATTTTATTTATTATAAATAAAAAATTTATTATTTTCATTTTTATTTTGCAAAGACATAAAACAACAAGAACATCTTGAAAGTTTAGTGTTAAATTCGCTATCTAATCATATCTAAGCGATATCGTACTTATTTGTTCTTTGTTATTCGAGATATCCGAGTTCGTGTATAAAAGGTGTCGAGAGACTTATACGATCTAAAAAACAATGATAAGTCATATAGACCTGTGGCCTGCTTCTACGTTTATTACATCCATAAAAGTTTAAGAGGGTCTGCACTTCGTCTTGCTCCTCCTGGTCCACCAGGCAGTCCACTTTTAGACGGTAAAGGGTAGATGAGTCTGATTGGACGTTGGCTTCACTATAGCTAGTGGTTTGCGGTGCCGATGATGAGAGGAAGGCTATTAACTCTCGCGTACGCAGCCACTTTTCTTACGTATAAAACATCGTTATATTCCTTTCAAACTTTCTTCATTTTATATTTTCCTCTCTCTCATTCTCTCTCTCTCTCTCTCTCTCTCTCTCTCTTTCTCTCTTTCTCCCTCTTTCTTTCCCTCTCCGTCTTTCTTTAAAATATCTATCGATCTCGAGAACATCAAAAGAAATATATATCTTCTGGTATTTAATTATAATTTTCTAACTCTATTACCAATCACTAAACTTTTTCTATGTAAATTTTTATTTTCCATTTAATGGAATCAAGAAACAAGATCGTACATGCACAGTTAAAATAGATTTATCATGTTTGCCATATCGACGATCTATCACGCAACTATAACTTACAATGTTTGTCAGAATCTGTACACGATCGTGCTACTTGTTGCTCCATCTTAAAGCTACCATTCGATAAATAAAAAAGACTTTTCGATCATTACGTTTTTAAAAGTTCATAGAATAATTAGATTCATTTACGTGATTAATATTCTTTAAATCTTTTTACAAGTTGGACGATTTAATAGAAACGTGTTTAAAAAAAAATACAAAAAAAAAAAAAACCAGAAAAGAAACAACAAAAGAAAGAAGAAAATATTTGCACGAAAACGAACGTATGAAAAACTATGAAAAAAGTCAGCGATCTCGTGGATCGAACTCGCTGTTAAAGTCGCGGTTCAGGGTCGTTACATTTCTCTTTCCCCTCACTCCTTTTTCCCACTCTCTCTCTCTCTCTCTCTCTCTCTCTCTCTCTCTGCCACTCCAGCTTTATTTCAAGCAAACGAGCATACAGCTAGTCTCTACAATAAAGTGAGTGATGCTTCGAGGACACGCGAATTATATTCTTCTTCGTCGTCACGATGTAAAACCATACGACATTTCGACGATGTTATTTTTTATTACTTTATCGCGGTTTCCCCGTTCGATATTTTTTACGTCACCTTTTCTTTTATTTATTTCTTTCACCTGTGTAAAAAAAAAAAAAAAAGAAAAGAAAAAGGAAAAGAAAAAAATAACGACAACGACGAAGATAATACACGTGTCTCCAAACATTTCCAGGATGTTTCCTAAAAAATGAGGAGGTTTTGCCTGACACGACGTACCCGTCAATCTTTTTCAAGGTTTTACGAGACGATTCTAAGATCGATAGGGAATTCGCTCAAAGATTTATCGATGGTGAAGGATGACACACGTGTTTAGAACTAATGATAACACGAATAGTAAGTAAACGACATGTATCAAGATTTTATTGAGGTAGAATGGTCAAAGTTCACCTATGTTTCTACGTATGACCTCGCAAAAAAAAAGAAAACAAAGAAAAAAGACATGGGACAAATATATCGCTGAATACTATACGTCTTGAAGAAGCTATAATAGCAAAGAAATCCGCGTGTCTATCGGTTAAACATCAACCCCCTTTTAGGATAGCAATAATTCGAAATTGTAAATCAACCAAAGAAACATCCAGTAACGTGAATTTGCGTGCCAAAACGACCTTCGCCATTTTCTTTGGCCATTAAGAGTACCATTTCGAGTTCGCCAAGGTATACGTGATTCGTGTAGACAGAAAAGGCCTTAGACCAATTTATACGTTAAGATGTATATACCGTGGCCTGTCGTTAACGTTGTATTCTATTTTACACTGTGAATCTTGCCAAGTCGAGAGAAAAAAAGAAACAGAGAGGGAGAGAGAAAGAAAGAGAGTATAAGTCTAATTACAACATAAAAATTTATATTCGATCGTATATACTATTGGTTATGTAATAATGTGTATGTAGATCTAATTTCAGAGGTCGAAATTATAATGCGAAATCTTGGTGATACGAATCATTGAGGAACAATTAGAAAGCACGAAAAGCATGAAAGTGAATACGTGTTCTGTGGTAAAATGCATCATAAATTTGAAATGAAGGAAAAGGGACAGAGAGAGAAAGAGAGAGAGAGAGAGAGAAAGAGAGAGAGTGAGAGTGGAAAAGGGGGAAAAAAAGGAAAGGAAAATTAACGTTGGTTATAAAATATCGCTACGTATCATATCTGACAATTACTTGGAATATATCAACGTCAACGATATGGCTTCTACTTCATCGTTATATTAGCAATAATACAGGTACTATGTTTCAGTCAGGAGTAATTACCGCAATACTACAATAATATGTTTTCCAAGTATCGAATTACGTTGGTAAGCGAAGCAACGTTGAACTACCTCGAGAATATTTCTTTTTTTCGTAAAAATATTTTTACGCTATTTCTGTTTCTCTGTTTTTTTTTTTTTTTTAACTTTGGACTTTTTGGAATTGTTCTAGTTTTTTTTTTCTTTTTTTTTTCCATTAAAACATTGAAAGAATAAAAGTCAACATTTTCGTTCTGTTTTTATCATATTCTTTTTTTCTTCCTTTCTTTATTTTTTCTAATAATATTTAATAATATTCTAATAATATTTTTTCTAATAATTTAGGACATAATAAAGAAAATTTCAAATTAATATAGAAATACATTCGAATTTTTCGACTAACTTCAAAATATCATTATGCTAGTTTTCAATCAAGTCTAATGTAAATGGAATTTTCTAACTTTCCCAGAATTGAAACTGCAGAGCTCTTTCATTTGACAATGTGTAACGATCGACGATTAATTTTAAGGTATAATACTCACAGACTTGGTAATTAAACGATACGATGTAGGACCATCGTTCAAGGAACAAATTAAACGATTTGTTTCCTACAGTTAATTCCAGTTCTTCCGTGTATCTCGTTTCGAATCAATTCGAAAATCCTTTATTTATATATCTATAAATTTA